CCAGGTAAAGACCTTTTTATTTAAACATCATTTTAATTGTTAAAACATATGATCTGGCCAGGACAACTTCTTCTTCCTTCTCTTTTCTCCTCCTATATTTTTATTTACTTATTTTATACTGATAATTTTAATTTTATATTTATAACTCAGTGTATTTTTTGTATTTTTGTATTTAATGGTAATTTATTATGTTCTATTGTATTTCAATGTATTTTATTGTGTTGTAAGCCGCCCCGAGGTCTCGGCAAGGGGCGGCATAGAAATGTTATAATCATCATCATCATCATCATCATCATCATCATCCTTGCTGTGAATACCCATTCTCACAGAATCATAGAAGAGTTGGAAGGGGCCAGAAGGCCACCAGGTCCAAACCTCTGCTCAGTGCAGGACTCCAAGTTAAACCACCCCCTCAGGTCCTGTGCTTGCCTTGGGCAGCGAAGTGTGCTGACCCAGCCCTGTCTGCTGGCGCGGTGATTATCCTGATTTCTCTTCCTTACTGCCATGAATTATGTGGTAAAGCATAACCCAAACTGTCTAGGCAGCACGGGAGAGCAAACCAGTCTGTGAAAGTGTGAACAGGAATCCACTCCAGGTGAGTGGTCCAATTAAGGGTGCAATTCTAAGCATGTTTACACGGAAAAAAGTCCTACACATTCCTGCATGCCGCAGTTGGGAGTACTAAGACTTTTTCCTTTCTATATAAGATTAGGATTGAGCCATAAATACTGTTTATTTCAAGTAATAAGAACAGTATAAGGCAAGAAAAACATACTATAAACTGAGAAAACCTATAGCTCAAGGTGTCCTAATTACACCCCTACACTCTTTAGACCTGCTTTCCCCAACTTCTTGCTCTCTAGAGGTGTTGGACTACAACTCCCAGCATTCTCAACCAGTAGATAAGAGCATCTGGGTAGATCTGGCAGGTAACCAAGTGTTTCATGTTGGGAAAGGAGGGTGGGGAAAGGAACTTAAACATATTGTATTTTATGCTGCTTGATCAGGGTGATCTCAATGGACAGCAGCAGAATTGGTGGCCAGCATTTAACTTATAAAAGTAAACATTGCTTGTCTTTACCAATCCCCCTCCCTGTTCTCTCATGAAATTTGAGTATCTCTACCTTGAAATGTGCATATCGTGCCCTGTCTCTCCCTGCTCTGCCTTGAAATTTCATATTATTAGCAACCTTCCCCATTTCTCTCCTGGACTGAAATCTGCCTCTTTTTTCACCCTGCCTTGAAATTTGCATAATATTATGGATCCCTGTGGCTGCTCTGTAACCCCCCTGTATATCTGACCACTGACAGCAGAGACCGAGGGAGGGATCCGACAAGCACAGAGCAGAAAGCAGCCGGCAGCTGTAGCAGAAAAAGCCTTTGGGCCAAGTGTAATTGGCAGTAGGTGAAGCAGGCTCTTTAAAAGGGTGTTGACTAGCAAGGCAAGCAGACGGAGGCTGGGATTAACCAGAGCACTGATAAGGGGGAGGAACATCACTACGCTGGGTTAACTAGAAGATGGGTGGTCTTGCCTAGTGGTGTAAGACCCCTGAATGTCTGTGCAGGACTCAGAAAGGCAACGCCATTTGGTAATGTGACGCAAGTAGGCGACCCCCTCTCGCCTACCTGCCAGACCACCTGCAGAAAGGGGGCCCATGCAGGGAATGCGGTGGCACGGAATTCTGCTGCAAAAGCAACCGGGAAGCCTTTGCAGGTGGGACGACTGCGGGGGAAGCCAATCCTGGAAAGCCACCGCGTGCTGGTCGTCCGTTGGGTCAGCCGGCAAACAACCCGTGGCGGCTTCTTCTCCGAGTGGCTGGACATGAGCTCTCCCCTTGGCCTTGCTGAGTAATCAGCTCCACTGTCCATCAGCTGCAGGAGAGGGAGGAAAGGGAAACAGGACCCCCGGCCAGGTCCGCTTCCTCCGCCCCTCCAACTTTTTCCACCCAGCTGGTTCACTTTGTAAAACAAACCACAAGAGCCTCCGGGCACTTTAAAAGATGCACGACTTCATTCTGGCACAAGCTCTCACAGCCACCGCGCACTTCAGCAGATGCACGAACGGTGCACTTCACGTGGGCAGCAGATCCACCCATCCCTATGAGCAGCGAGCGCTGAAACGCACGGCGCAGGGAGACAGTGAAATTTCCTGAAACAGTCCCCATTCACACAACGTCGTTGGGTGCTAACACAAAACCTCAATGCAATAGTGAGCGGATTCAAGTGCACAGAATATCATGCGTGGTGCAATTAAAAGGTAAAAATAAACTGCTGGCCAAAAGAGGAACGAATTCAGCCACTTCGCGCTGATCGCGCCTTTGGGCGATCCGTTCAGCAATGGGTACTGTCACCGTCCCGCCGAAGGCCTCGTTGTGCACGAGAGTTTGCGCCAGGCTAGGTGTGTCAGGGTTTCCAACGGTGCGATCCTGCCCAAGCCTACTCAAGAGCGGGCCCATTACAGTCAATGGGTTTTTCTCCCCAGGTAAGCGGGCCCGCGCTTGTTTAGCCTGAGCGCCCGCACGCTCCGGGGTTGCCTCGGCCGCGGCGACCCCCGCTGGAATTTGCAAGAGGAGCCGCCCGTGCATCGCGCGCGCGCCGCCGCCGCCCGTCCCCCGCGCTCGCTCCCCGCCGCCGGCCCGGGCAGTTTCCGCCGCCCGCCGTCACGTGCGGCCGCGGGGATTAAAGGCGCTCAGCTGGCTGGCCCGTGATGGATTCCAGCGGCCGAAGCGGCGCAGGGGTCCCGCCCTCGCAGGAGCCTCCGGATCGCGCCCGGGAGCCGCCGAGGAGCGCAGCCATGGACGACTCGGCGCGGGAGGTGACGGGGCCGGTGTAGGGCGCGCGGGGGGCGCTGGCGGGAGCCCGCTCGGGGGGGGGGGCTGCAGCTTCCACGTCGCTCTCCGTGGACCGCCTGCAGGCCGAGCTTCTCGCCCCCCTTCCTTCCCCTTGACTGCGGCTCGCTTTCCTCTCTCCCCGTTCTGCATTTGTTTGCTGCTTTGTTTGTTAATATCATGCGGGCATTCTGCGCGTCCGCCACGGTCTTCCCGCACGAAGCGCCGCCGCTTCGTTGCGTTGCAAGGCGTTGGATGGAGTTGCCGCTGCTCTCCTGGCCCGCCTAACCGTGCGTTGAACGCGGCAGGGCACGATTCTTAGCAGGGAGAAGGACTGTTTAGCTCCGTGTCACCAAAGACGTTCGCTACATGCGTGAAATGAAGGCACTTGCGTGTGTTTAAACCCAGCCTGGTTTTTTGTTTTTGCATCGCCTTGTATTTGTAGGCGGCTTTCCTGCAAACTTACCAACAGCTCAGGCAGCTGAGCGGGGCCCTTCCACTGCATTCTTTGGCAGGGGGCTGCATGACTGAACTGGAGAGCTCACTGAGGACTAGTGTGGTGCCTCCCGAGGGGCACCTGCAGTATCTTACCCCAAAACGAGCAGCCTAGAAAAGCCCAGGGTTGTGTGCCGTTTGTGGTGTGGCCAGGCATCTTGCCGCAAATTGCGAGTGTGTTCAAAAGCCACTGTAACATTGCAGACATCCCTGCACTGTTTTAAGCGAGTCGGCCCTGCCATCACCGCACGCCACTTAGTGTGGCCTTAGCACCTCCAGGAGTCCTGGCAATTTGTCTTCATCTTCTTGCCGCTTGACCTTCTGGGTGCGTAAGAGCTGGGGTTTCCAGCGTGGTTCCTGCAGACACTTCTTGGGCACCCACCAGGCTCCCTGCCTCTCCTGATTTGCCTCCCATGCTGCAAAGAGAAGGCCATGTCTTCCAGAGCCAGTGTGATTTGTGTTTGGAAGAGTGGTTTTGTGTTTCCGAAACCACACCTGTGCCCTGCACTTGGTTCTTGGGCAAGTTGTTGTATTGCAGACTTACAAGTTTGCCTTCTGGGAGGTAAGTCTCCACCTTGGCAACCACTGTATGAATGGGTACCACTTCTCCATGGCAGTTATCTGTCCAGAGTGCCTGTGACATTCTTCCAGAATTGCAAATGTGCCTGTCAACCCAAAAGACTGCTGCCTAATAGTAAGCCTTTCCCTGTGTTGGGTTCTTAGATGTTAGACTACAACTACCATCATTCCTGACCATTGGCCACACTGCTTTGGAATGATCAGCACTAGACTCCAACAACAATCAGGTTTCCAAAGTCTGGGAAAGAAATGGTCAGACCATCTCTTCCCACCTTACCTTGGATAGGGCTGGAGGAGACAAAGAATCTTCACTGCAGATTACAAGAGGGAGCTGTAGCGAAGGTGGCATGCAACTAGACCATAACCCTGTGTGCTTCTTGCATGTAATTTGGCTCTTACCAATAGCTTTTGGTTGTGCTTGGATTTTTTCTTATACTGGAGAAAATAACGGTTTTTCACCAAATCCTTGCAAGGAGAATCCACATGGTGTGGAAGGTGTGGTACGAAAATACGAAGACAGAGCAAATCATTGCTAGTTCGTGGCTGTCCCTTGGACTGAAGAGAAGTCATGGCTCATGAGTAGAGAGCCTGCTTTCCATGCAGAAGGTTCCAGGGTCAAAGGCCAGCATTCCTAGTTACAAAAAGGACCAGAGAGTAGGTGAAGTCCCTTTGCTCAGGAGCCTGCACAGCTGCTGCCAATCAGAGGAGATAAGACTGGGCTAGATGGACAAATTTCACCCAGTCACAGACCAGGGGACTTCTACCTGGGTCCCACCTGTACTTCCTGAGCTCCATCATGGAAGAATATAGTACTGGCACTGGAAAGAAAGAGGCAAAATTAATAAAGAATACAGCAAGGTGATAAAATCTCTCTGTGTGTATTTGGGCTCTGGTTTGGAAGAGAATGAGTGTGCCCAGTGGCCCTGCTGGCCAGTGATGATGGGAGTCGTACACATTGTTGGCTCTGGAGGCTATGTTGCATTGGTTAAGACTGCAGGGAAACTGGAGGGGAAGGAGCCACGCTGGCCTCTTTGCTTTGCCCTGCGCTCACCATATGGTAGTCACATCACACTTCCCTAATTCTTCCTGCGCTGCGCAGCTTATTGTGTTGTCTGAACCTGGTGAGGTCGACAGCAGGGAGTGGATTCAGACTCACCTGCCATGGATCCTGGGATGGCTTTGAAGGCAGACTCACCAGGTACCTTGCCAGATCCAGACCATACAGGAAGCTCCATGCTGCAAGGGCAGGTAGGGGAACAGCAGCGCACAAGGGTGTGCAGAGGGCAAGCAAAAGAAGACATGTTCTCTCCTCAGCCCCCTGATCCTCCAAACCGTCTGCGAGTCAACCCTTTGGTTTATCCAGCCCAGTATGGATGACTCGGGGTGGGTTCAGACAGTGCAGTAAGCTGCACTGTGTGGTTGGCTAGGCACTGTGGTTTCCTTGCCGGGGAGCTTGGGTTCTGGAGCTTCCTCTCCTTTGGTCCTCCTGCTGGCCTCCAAGGGAACGCTGAGATTCCCACCCTGACGCAACTCGGATGTGGCACCAGGAGGATGAATGGGGGAGTGCCCCTCACATCAGCCTACACTTGAGTAGGCTGAAGCAACGGGTGCCACCACTGCTGTGTCCAGCTGGGAGGACTGGCTGCTGTGGTGGATGGCAGAGGAGCTTGTGGCCACCAGCTTGAAACAGGTGGGGATGGTGGGAACGGGCTTGGTGGAGAGCAGTTGTTCGCAAGCATCCCCTGCCTCCCGAGATCAGAGCCCTGTTGGGTCTACACTGGGCTTGCGGCGTGGCTCCCAGGAACCTCCTCCTCTCATGCAGCTCTTGCTCGTAGGTTTCTGCATCACCTGAACCTGATGAGGGGGGGAGCACGATTAACGAGCCACACAGAGCCTGGGGGCTGCTGGTCCATGGTTGTGGGTGGTTTGTTAACCACACCAACAGCCTGCCCTTGCCAGATTCGTACAACACAACAAGCCTCTGCCACAGAGAGGTGGCTTCTTTAAGCCATCATGACTGAAATTAGACCACCGTGTTGAGTGGAATTGTGGACCCCTGGCTCTGGCACTCACTAGATCAGGAATCACAGCAGTAGCTTTAAAAAGAAAGACTTCTGGTGATGAGGGAGCCTAATGTAGGACTAGGGTTACATCCAAGCCAGCACTCTGCTACAGCAATAGGATCATGTCTCCTCCTGCCGCTGCACAAGCCCGATATTTTCCAGTGCTTGACATTAACGCTGCTCGTGGGTTGGCTTGTCATGTAGCCAAAGTTCTTTCTGTGGAGGCTGTATTTATTCTCTGCATGGCTGTTAAGATGCGTTAAAAAATCACTACAGTTTTGATAAATGTGGTGGATGATTCCTTCGACCCAGTGAAGGGTGCGCAACCTGTTCTTCATGGGTTACATTCCCCTTGAAGGAGCAGATTCACAGCCTGTCTACCAGCTTTGGCTGATGGCCAGGCCTCACCAGGGATATTCTGGTTCCAGTAACCTGCAGTCTGCTGCACTACCACGATGCGCTCTACACGGGGCTGCCCTTGAAGACCGTTCAGAGGCTGCAGCTTGTGCAAACCGTGGCAGCCAGACAGGGACCAGAAGGTCAGAACACATAATGCCAATTCTGGCCTGCTTGGACTGGCTGCCTGTCTGCTTCCAAGCCCAGTTCAAGGAGCTGGTCGTAACCTATACATCTAGTAATGCCTGACAGTCACAATAGACTTGCCCAGTTACAAACAACCTCTGGATGGGATGGTGTAACCTGGTGTTCTACACTTGCAGGGGGTTGGACCTGATGGCCTTCCAGGCCCCTTCCAACTCTGCTCTATGAATCTGTGAAGCCTCACCTCTGTGCTCAGTATCTGAGGCCATCTTCTGAGTTCCACCTTCAGGAGAGGCTTGGTTGGCGGCAACACCAAACAGGCCCTTCCCTGGGGCAGCCCCTCCCCCTGCAGCCCTCCTGGGACCAGCTCTGCAATTCTTCTAGCACAGAGTTAAGACTGTTTTCTATGCCGACACATGTAACAGCAGCAGGATCGTGGGAAGTGGATGGGATTATGTCAGCTGTTTTTAACAGGCCTAGCTGTATTAATTTGGCTTAGATATTCAAGTGATGTTTTATTGCTATTGGTATTTTATACTGCATTTTATTGTGTGTGATGAACAGTTGTAAATGATCCAGACAACTTCAGTTACTGGGTAGTATAGAAATAAAGAATAATGCTGGTGGGGGGCTGTGAATAGGTGAGGGGAAAGAACTTCTTTAGGCCTGTGGGATGGGTTGCCATGGTGAAACCTGGCACGGGACTCGCACAGTGGCGGGGTTCTGCTGCCCTTTCCCCATTCCACAGCTGTTTCCCAGTAAACTGGGCAGTGCCAGAGATCAGGGTGTGGGGGAGAGTGTGAGGAAAGTGGGTTTTGACCTACTATTCACCTACCCCTGTGCTGTTGGCTGGTGTTGGCGAAAGTTTGGGCAAGACATAAATGGCTGTCCTTAAGGAGGAAATACATCGCTAAGAAGATAGAGGAGGGTGAAGATTTCCTTAACCCTTATGAGAACAGATGCCAATTTTGAAAATTGCTCTAACCAGAACAGAAATACCTCTTACCATGGAGGGGGAGGGACCACCTATGATGAGGTGCCTCCTCCCTAATCTTCTGTCCAGGTCTTAATTGTCAATGGGCAGTCTCCACGTTCTGCTGCTCTCCCATATTTAGTTTCCAGATGGGTTTGGACTGGACAGTCCTTGAGAGGATGCCTTGAAATAGAGAATGGTGTGCTCTAAGGTAGGACACAGGTGTGCCCTAGTGTGGGAAGGTGAGGTTTTAAATTTCACCCTGCTTGTGATTGGAATTCAATATCGTGAACCTCAGAAAAGCCAGGCCTGGTGGTGGTTTCTCTTTTGCTGAGACGTTGAAGCAGAGGCTGCATCGCCATCTGTTGCTGCAAGATGCCTGCACTGAACACTAGATAGGATCTCTAAGGTACCCTCGATCGCTAAAATCCTTTGTTCTATAAAAGCGTTGCCCTTGCAAAAATTCTTCAACGTTGCTCTTGCCTCCATTCTTAAAAATCGCTATAACATATGTGGTATAACTGAGACTTGTACTCGGGTTTCCTAGCTCACAGTCCAGTCTCCCGTTCGTTCAGCTGGAACAGGCTTTCCTTTATTTCAATTGTGGTTGTAATCGGGGTAGACTCTAGGCTTCCCAGATAGTTGTTCCCGGAAAAACATCCCAGATATATCATGCCTTGATTGCATGCAATTCAACCTGCAACCTCACGTAACATGTTTGCTAGGAAACAAGTAGCAGGCACACAGTTCCAGCCAACTTTGTGGCTGTTTCCATTCACTCTTCCATATAATTCATTTATCCCAATCCAGAATTCAGATGTATCTGCCCTGCAAGATAAGTATGAGCTTGTTAGCAAGGGCTGTGAGGCACTTTGCATTGTCAGGTTACACATAACCTGTGGTGTCTGATTTGCTTCTAGTGATGTGCATTGTTAATCTTGGCTGCCAAGTTTTAGGCTGCATTGATTGTGCTAAAAGCATACTTACAGATCATAATGATTTAAAAATAGATACATCAGTTATGGTAGATTCCCCGCTCTGCCCTTCCCACTTAAATCCTGTGAATGACCTTCTGGTCTCAACAGCCTCCATCAAGTTATATTTGTGCCAGAAACAGGCTCTTTCTTGCAAGAGAACAACTTAAGGTAGAAAAGGTTAACCATTACATTTTAATACTTAAACGATGCAGTTAAAATAATCCCGGACACTGTTACATTGCATAGTCCTTGCTGATGCTATTGGCTTGGATTCTGTCACTAAACGTTTAGCCATGTGCCCTCTGAACTTACTTGTTTGGTCTGCAGGCTGCAATCCAAGGAACACTGTGAAAATCCTTAAGCTTAGCATGTCTGAGTTGCTGCGTTTTTGCTGTAAGAGCGTCTTTCGGGATGGAGTTATTGCCTCTTCCAATACAGCCTGGCCTGACACCCTTCAGAGATCAATAAAGTGTATCTCCTTTGATGTGTGCACAGGATCACTGTAACAAAATACTAGTCCTGAATGCCACAGACTAACATTGTGCTTAACTTTGTATTTCAGAGTGGATGCTCCATTAACATTGTATGAATATTAATGTTGCTCTGGTTGGTTACTTGGTGAGGACTTAGCTCTAAAAAGTACCTAAATGTATTTTAAAGTATTGTACATGCCCAGTATTTCCATCCATCTATACACTGAATAAGCTCTGTCATCACTGGTCATCAGCTGTGAGCTACAGCAGGTCTGGGTGGTTCCATGCTGTGAATAAGACAAGAGTTGGGCAAGAGGGTGGAGGGGATGTAGAAGATAGAAAAAGAGAATGAGGAGAGAGGAGAGGAGAGACTGGGCCTGCCTAGACTGGTCTATTAAGCAAAGTGTACCATGGTCACATCTATCTATATTGAAAATGCTGTTCTTCTCAATGTCAACAGAGCCTTCTCCTGGCAGCAGCCTATGTCTTTGATGCCCAGTACAATAGGAACATCCCTTTTGAGACCTCGCCACAAGCAGTCAGGTAAATGTGGTGCTTGGGGGTGTGTCGACAGTCCTGATACCTGGAACAAATGATTGTATTGTGGAGCATGAGGCCTCCCAAGGCTTGCTCATTCCGCCTGTTGGGCAGCCGTGCTGTGCTCCTTACATATGCGGCTGAAGATTTCTTCCTTTGCATTGGCACAAGAATTCTGCCGACCAGAACTTAAGTCTTGTGATGAGAAGGTGGTCTCAATAGGGTTGGGATGAAACTCACTCTAGCATTGTGCTCAGCCCAGTCTTGCAAAGTGAGCTCAACAACGGTGGTGCAATTGGCAGCCTTCTTCCATGTCAGAGGGCAGCCACACAAAGGCTGCACATGGCGCAGAAGCATGTGGGACTTAATTCCCACACGAACTCCAGGCATGCTTGCCAGGAACTTGGACTGATGGTCCCATCAAAGAGGAGTAAAGTCCAGGGAGCTGGGCCCAGGGAATCGGTTGGAACCCAGCCTCGATACAGATTCCTTTTCTTCCCTGTTTTCATACAAGTGACTCTTGGGATTTAGTCCCAGTGGGCCCAATACTGGTGATTGCTGTTTTAAACAAAGCAGGTAAACCAGTGGTTATTATTGAAGTTGGTTTTGTTGGGGGTTGTGCATCAGGTTTGGTAAGACTATCATTGGAACCTGAAATGTGGGGCATTTGGTGCAAATGTGGGGCATTAAGGCCTTTTCCTTGGTGTCTGCCACTTTCTGAAGCCAGGTAGGTGATGGCTAGAGAGGGGACTTTCACAGCTGAGCTGTCCCGGGTTTAGACTGTCGTCCCCCAGAAGGCTCCATTTTGGTGGTAGTTGCCAATGAGGACCTTAACGGCAAGTAGATGTGCTTTGCCATCTGATTTGTCTGCAGGTCTAGAGCTAAAGTTACAGTTACGTAGATCTTGATTAAACATCAGGAGAGCATTTTTGATGCAAGAGCTATTTACTAATGGAGTCCATTACCTAGGAGCAGGCAAAAAGTAAATTCTCCAGGAACAAAGCAGACATGGAATTCCCAAACAAAAACCACTCTCTTGAACCCGCAGTCTTCTGCACAAATGGAGGAAGCATGCAGAGAAGGAATTTGGCCAAGAATGCCACATATAGCCCAGATGTCGTCTTTGAAATCAAAATGTTACTGGACGGCTAGTTTGCACCATATCAGCCTCTCAATTGAGGGGAAGAGCATTTTAAACAAATACTTTAGATGTTTTTCAGTGACCATCCCCCCCAAAAAGTGACCATACTGGCTGGGGCATATGACTTTTTGCCCAAGTCGTCTGGAAAATTCTGACTTTCCTACCCCTGGGTCTAAACATTCTCCCTGCTGATAGCACCACACTTTCCTGAACTAAGATTATATTATTATTATTATTATTATTATTATTATTATTATTATTATTATTATTATAACATTTCTGCCATCATGACTCTTCTCTTCCCAGGCTCTACTACCTGTATAACCACTGGGCTATGCAAGCCTCTCTCTACTTGTTTATTTTTGTGGATCTTGCGCTTGCAGTGTTTGAAGAGCCTGCTGTGTACCCACTTCCTTTCTTGGTAAGCACGTGGACAAATGTAACAGGCAATAATTCCCTCCTGAATTCCCTCCAGATGGAGCTGGATAAGGTGTGCACAAGCAAAAACAATACACTGAAGCACGATCATGAAAGCAAGCGATGCCCCCATTTCTTTCCTTTCTCTGCACCAACTTGCATAAAGTCACCTGTGTGGGTGGCATTGAAAAGAGGTGAAATGGTCAGTGGCATAGGCAGGATGAAGTAGGCATGTGAAATAGGCATGATGGCTGAAGGCTGCCCCCCCCCCCCCATATCAGAGGCAGTGTGATACTCAGGTGGGGGAGAACATAACTGCAGCCACCCTCATGCCCTGCTTGTGAGCTTCTTGGAGCCATTTGGTTGGTCACTGTGGGAGCAGCATGCTGGACCACACAGCATTGGGAGGCGGCTGCAGCTCTTGGGCAGAGCATCTGCTGTGCCTGAAGGAGGCCCCAGGTTTAAGCCCAGTCATCTCCAGGTAGGGCTGAAGGAACTCTTGCCTGAGACCCTGGAAAGTTGCCTCCAGTGAATCAAGATAGGCCAGTGATCTGAAGCAGCTTCCTCTTTTCCTATGGACTTTTAGTCTGATCCGGCACAGCTTTCCCAGTGTTCACATCCTATTGGCATGATCACCTGGGAGTAGGACCTGCTGCAAAAACACACAGGACATGTCAGCCCAGCCCGGGTATAACCAACAGTAGATCTCCAAAAGTCTTGGACTTCAGCCCCCTGGATTCCTAACCATGGGCCATGCTGGCAGAAGCTTCTGGGAGCTGAATGTACAGAGTTCTGGCAATCTGCTGGATGCTGCTGGTCTGGCAGAATCTAGTTACTTTCACTGTCCCAGCTGCCTTCCTTTTCAAAAAACTAGATCCCTTTTTAAAGAGATGGTATAGTTGGAGCTGTGATTACTCTGAACCAACAGAAAGACATACATGTGGCTCCTAGATCAAATCAAGCCAGAACTTGCCCTGGAAGCAAACATGACAAAATTGAAGCTATTGTTCTTTGAGACATCATGAGACGGCAAGACTCGCCAGATGAGACAGTCAAAGGCTGATGAGATGACTTGTTTCCAGAAAGGAGGCCCCAGTCTTTAGTTTCCAGGAGCAGAGCAGGGCTGTGTCAAGGGCAGGGCATTTTGGAGGGCTTTCATTCATAGGGATGCCATAAGTCGGAGATGACTTGACAGCAGATGGTAAGAATTGCTAGAGTGCAGCTAGAAAACCTGCAGCCCTGTTCTAGCTCTATGCAGCAGCTGGTGTCCCCGGCTAACAAGGTGCAGCCCCAGCTCCAGCTGGTTTTGTTGAGACCATAGGGCAATGCCTTGCATTTAGGTTTGCCTCAGCACCTGCTTCCTCTCTGGAAGCCCATGTCAACATACAGAAATTCCTTATGACATCAGGAAGCTCTTCTGTTTACCAAAGCTTTGATGTTGGGGGAAGGATGTTAAATGTCCGTGCTCTGCATTCTAACTGGTGCCTCCTTCCCAGCTTCTGATTATAGGGTACTGGAGGTTGCTGAAGCAGAGAGGCCAAGCATAGCTGCTGCTTTGTCTAAGAAAGCATGCATGTGCCTTTGGTTTTGAATTTCATCTACTCCTTTCTTCATTTCGTCAGGTTACCTCACTGATTGAAGTCTTATGCCTTTTGGTCTTCTTTGGAAGGCTTGTCCACTTTGCCCAAGTCACTCCTCGCCTTGTGTTCTGGAAGGATACAAAGAACATCTGCATCATGATAACAATCTTGGTCAGTGGTAGCTTGTGATCTTCTTGTAGCAATGATGCTTGTGGCTAAGTGACATCTCAGTGATATGAAAAGTCTGTTCTAAGTGCAAGCAAAGTGTGGTCCAATTCAGTCCTTTCTGCTGTCATGGAAGGAGCGGAGGCACAGTAGAAGGATTGGTTTAATGATACCACCATTTGGTGCCCCCATCACTGTGATAATGCTCTTTTCAGTGTTTTACACAGTGCAGCTGGATGCAAGTAACACTTGGAGCAAAACATTAACTTTGCTGGGTTTGATGGAGGCTCATGCCTGTAATGTTTTGTATCCCTTTGCTGTGATAGCCTCTTTTCTCCCTTATTCTGGTTCTCCAACATGGTGCCTTTTGCTTCTACTTAATTGCAGACTCCTCTTTTGGTGCTCACCAGGTTTTCTGTCCTTCCTGATTTTTTTTTTTTTTTTGGATAAAATTGAGAATGCTGCAAGGCAGAGACATTAGTCGGAATCACAGCAATTACAAGCATGAAACTTCAATCCATGATTAAATGTGGCCTCTCTTTTCTGACAAGCAGAATGCAAACTGTTAAGTGATTTTTGGAGCATGGCTTCTGGAATTTCAGTGCTTTTGTTCTCTCTCCACCCCTCCCCCCCACATTCCCACCATTTCCAGTTGACTTTGATTGACCTAATTATCTATGGCGCTCTCAGAATCTCAAGCATTCGTAGTGTGCGATGGTCCAGGCCCATGAGACCACTCTTCTTAATAAACTTTGCAGAAAGCCGGCAGGTAAGAGGCTTGTGTGAGTGTTTGTCAGTCTCCTTCAAGAAAACACACCTAATTAAAGGCTAGTAGGGAAAGGACATTGCTTCAATTTCTAAATGTCTGCTTGATCTAGTATCTACCTTTTGAAATCATATTCTGCTTTTTTCTCTCCTCTGTGCAAACAGGCAGGCTTAAGCCTGGCCTGGCTTTGGGAAAGCTGAAATAGAAGGTAAAGTATCATGGGGTCCCTGAAAAAAGTGGGGGGAATAATGGATTGGGAGGGATCTAGGAATCCTGCACAGCGTGAAGGTAGGTAGCTAACCTGAGTAGCTTCAGGTGCAAGGCTGTGGCAGAAGCAGCCAGAAGCCCCAGTCCTTTTGCTCTTGACCTCGTCCAATATGGGAACGTGGCCCCAAGAGCTGCTCTGAAATGAAATGTGGCACTGAGAAAAGACATGCAAGACTCCCCCCCCCGCCCCCCATCTAAGCAGTATGGATTTTTGCATGCCATAAAATCAAGTTGGGTTTGGATTCACCGGATGAAGCTTGAATATTCATTGGCTTGAGTGATAAATTACAACTTCTCTGCTCATCTACAAGAGCAGTTCCATAGACAGGAAGGTTTTCTTTTCTCATTCTAGCCCAATTCTTAATCTTTCTATCGTCTCCATGTCCTGAAACTCTCAGAGCTTCATAGAATAGTAGAGTTGGAAGGGGCCAAGAAGGCCATCAGGTCCAACCCCTGCTGTGGCAGGATGCCAGTTTGCACCATCCCACTCAGAAGGCTGTCCCGTTTCAACCTGATGAAGGGATGCACAGGCCTTGCACTTGGGTGACGAGAGGGACCTGTAGGCCTGCTTCCTGATGAGTTCATCTGCATGTGCAAAGGCAGAGGCTTGGCTGAGTGGGAGATGCTGCCAGGACGATACAGCACCTTGTTCCCCTAAGAACCATTTGCTGCTTCTTGGCAGATCCGGCGAGCATTTCGTAGCATCCGGAACACCCTGCCTGAGATCACCTACGTCTTTCTGCTGTTCACGTTCAGCGTCTTGATGTTTTCTCTCATGGCCTTGAAGTTGTTTGGGGACAGGTAAGGAGGGCAGGAAAAGCAGCTGCAGGCACTTTTGGGATGATTTTTCCATGGATAGGCAAGGGCTTCTAACCCTCAGGGTGCAATCCTACTGTAACACCCATACGCCACCAAACGTGCTCCTGGACATCCTGTGCTAAGCAGGAGGCGTGGTGGAACCAGTCTTCTCTCTTCTGTCCTTCCCTTGTTCATTTTCACTGAATGGATTTTTTCACTCATCCATCCCAATACTGTCAGCACTGCCTGGTAGCATCTAACCAGGGATTCAGGCCGCAGGAGTTTCTCCAAGCTTGCCTGGATGTGCTGTGGCTTGAGCCTGAGACCACACACATTTCTCCTGGGATGCCCTGGGCATGCCTCTCCCTTGAGTTTTTTGTTTTTGTTTTGTTTTAGGAATCTGAGGACTGTGGATGGCTTGCCGTATTTTTCAAATTACCTTGCTATCGTATTTGATATGTATGTGCTGGTGACCACCGCCAATAGCCCTGATGTCATGTAGGTATTGAGTGGTGACAACTGGACATTTGCTGGTGACATGAAGGACCGAACCCCACTAGTTATGTTTTTCTGAAATTTAGACCTGCCCCAGTCAATGGCCAGTTAGCCTTCCCAGTGCAAATTTACAGAAGAGTAAAAAATAAGATGAAATGATTAAATGCCTACTTTCTGTGCTCTCTCGCTCTCCCTTCCTGTCAGGACAGGTGAAAGGAAGTCCTTCTTCACAGACTGCATAGTAAAGCTATGGAATTGTCTCCCACAAGGTGTAGTGATGGCCACTAATTTGGATGGTTTCAAAAGGAGACTGGAAAAAGTGTACTAGTTCATAGGGCTACTTGCCTCTAGGCAGTGATGCTAAAACAGTTCAGGGGCCTTTCCTAGACTATGAGGGGCTTCTCCTTGTCTCCCACCCACTCAAGAGGTGATGCTGTGCACCAGATTTTGCCAGGTGCCATTTGGAGACTCTTCATCCCCCTTTGTCAACTAAGCAAGGCTTCAGTTATCAAGGGGTTGTCTAGATGAGGTTTTCAACCTGCTGCTTTCTTGAGGCTTCTGCTTCTGGATTCTTTGCTGGACTAATATCACCTCCTATGGACACTTCACTTGGGAGTAATAGTATCTTTTTTCTGCACCTTTGAATGTTCCATTACATGACCAGCAGGTGGTGCTGTGGTATAAAGGAGTTGCATGAATACATGGGTGTTTCATCCCACCAATTCCAAATAATATCACAGTATTCTCAACCTAGAAAAACTTTGGTAATTGTTGCAAAGAACAGAGAGGCCCTTGAGAACATTGGCATAGCATAAAGCATGTGTTAACTACCATGAGTTGAGGAATTGGGAATTTACTATAAATGCACCATGTGGAAAATCTGCAAGTTGGTGGGCAGGCATATTCCAGCAGACTCACTTGATCTTGGACTGGGATGGAGCTGTTCTGCATCTCAGAGTGAGAGCACATGGCTCGATTCAGTGCTGGAAAATGCCCATGTTGCCTTATGCACCCACATGTTCTGTTTCATCTCTGCTTCCAGCCGCTAAGGTAAACAAGGCAAAGCATTGTTAAAATACTTTAAATGCATATTTATGCACATAAATATGTGAGGGCCCCTGCTTGACCTGAGCTGCTACTACAAAAGACAGAATGAGTGAACGAGGGACAGGCAGCTCTCAATCCTTGTGAGGAGGAACACAGACATGAGCCTGTACTCTCATTGTGGAGGGCTTTTCTTGCATTCCTTTGACTCCTCTCTGGCAAGCTCTTACCTGACAAAAGATGGGTATCAGTCGCTCCTGAGATGCAGTATATACACTTCAGCTTGGTCCCCGTGGGGACAATAATTTTGAATGTAGTTCTCCCAGCTTTGGCAGCAGGACTCAGGCAGGGCTGCACAGACTTTGCTTTGGCATTGTAGCCAGCCATTTTTTCTGGCTCCCTGCTCTTGTGAGCACCTCCTCTTCCCCACAAGTCCTCTGGCGTTTGCCAAGAAAGTGGGTTGTCCACTGGGCCTTCAGCAAGAGGCAGACTCAGTGGAGGAGACATTGGAAAGTGAGACTGTGCTTGGCCCACATTTCTGATGCCCCCTCGGACATTGGCCAATGGGGGTGGGGATGCAGTTAGCCTGTACCTATGACAACATTCCCCAACCCCATCAGATGGGTTGGACTGCAGTTCCCATCATCCCTAGCCAGTATGGACTATTCCACAATAGGACTTGAAGACCAGCACAACTGGAGGGCACTGGCCTGGGGAAGACTGGTCTAGCATAAACATAGCTGCCTCTTCCACTTTCTCTGCAGTTCACTGAGAACTGAAGAAGAGGGAATTTTGATGCTGTGGGTGGTGCAGAGCAGTTACTCAGTCAGCAGAACTTGTGGCACCCTGTCACAGATGTTTACTTCTCTGGGGACCATGTGTCCAATTAAAGAATGCAGTTGCTTCAAATAAGTTCAGAAACATCTGGATACAGGGTATTCAGCCTTCCTTCTCTGACTAAATTGTCTGAATCCTTCTGTTAAAGCTCCCCGCAGAACTTTAGTTGCATTTGCTTCAGCTGGAATCCTTCCAGAAAAATATTCTGCTCAAGAATGGCTGTCTCTGATAGAAATTTGGCCAGGGATTGCTGGCAAATGTGTCAATGAACCAGTCAAGTTTTATTATTATTATTATTGGGTGACATCCAACCTTGTGTGACTGCACTTTCCCTTCCCTTCCCCACCCTTCCCAGTCTGGTGTAGAATTTCTCCAGTCCTTCCAAGCACATTTGAGGGGGTGGCAGGAACTGCAGGAGAAAACAGAGAGTTAGTTCCCCCAGTGCTGTTTCTGCAGACAAATGTAGTCCAATATCATGTTGTGGTCCTTATCCTCTGGGACGAGAAAGTCCCCCTTGTAATATTACAAGAACCCTGGGAACCATTTCTAGCCTGTCAGGATAGGATTAAATCAGCAGTATTAGCTCTCGTAGGTTTATTTTGGAATGTGATATCTAGATTCTAGGGTTTTTCCTTTTTATTAGAATGTATTAGTGAGATAACCTTTTTTAAAAAATAGTGCTATAGGGAAAAGTCTTTCCATTGTAATTTAACCTTCAGTGGAAAGAGGGTATCTGTGGTTGGTCCTGGGTTTGTTACCGCTAACGCTCTTTTCTGTGGGAGTGTAGTGCTAAATACCAAGAGTGTCAATACCACTGACATTGCTTGGTTAGCACCAGTATTTGAATATTCATACACACAGACTTACAGGACTTTGGAACAACCATCCCTTTGGCCCTATTCTCAAGCTGCAGGGTGAACACTGCAAAATGCACAGCCAGCGAAGTCTCTGGAAATTCTTTACATCCTTTCTTTGGCAAGTAAGCAATCTTTCAGGATTCTCTATGCTGCATTTTGCCAGTGTGGTGCCGTAGCTGAGAGTGTTAGACCAGGACGGGAGATCTGGAATCCCCACGTGCCGGTGATGCCGGCTGGGTGACTTTTGGCCAGTTGCTGACTCTCAGGCTAACCTACCTCACAGGGTTGTTCTTGTCGTGAGAGTAAAACGGAGAGGAGGGGAATCTTGTGAGTTGCCCTGAGTTCCTCACAAGAGGCACAGTATAAATGCGGTGTAACAATAATATAATACTTCATGGCCAATCTTATTTCTCTCCTATAGGATGCCAGCTTATGATGTCAGTGGGTGGTACTCCCTGTTCTTCATCACCTACATTGTCATAAATACATACATCTTCATGTCTGTCTTCTTGGCTGTCGTGTACAACAATTACAGAAAACACTTAAAGGTAAGTCCTGCCTAGGGAGAGCGTGGTTCTTGAAGCCCAGTTTACAGAGGAAGTGCCGATAAGGATGACTTGCTGCTGTTTCTCCCTGCCTTTCGCTGTGGGAGCATTTGGACCCTGCAGCCATGTGTTGGGGTGGCCCATTGTATGTGTTCGCTTTTATTTCTTTGCCAGGTAGACCCCACCATTAGACAAAATAAGCCAGCAGGTAATTCCTTCTGGTGGACTAAAGTCTCTCAGGGATTGCCCAACACTTATTACACTAAAAGTGCAGATAAGTCCAAGAAGCATCACATGTGCCTAGAAAGCACGATCCCATCATTTAAAAGCAAAGGCGGTCTGAGCAAAGGGGGTGGCAGTATTAACCGAGCTGTGCTAGAGCTGAAGCCCCACCATTTTGGTTTGTCATGTTGTCTGAACCCAGTTGGGGTATTTCACCATGGTAAGTCAGGTCTTCAGAAACCATAAGAATTTGTTCTGTGTTTTTTCTGCACCGCCATGGCATGGCATGCTGTCTGAGCCCAGGTTCATGGTTTCTGTGGTTATGGTATGCCACTATCAGAATCCCCTGGAAAGAGTGGCAACCACTCCAGCCATCCAGCCTCTATGTGTACACCGGTGGGGAAGGTGATGTTGGCAGGGAGTGATGCACCTTGGGAAAGAATATCGGGCACGGTGGTTGATGAGATGTGTGTGAACAGTGGGAGGACTGAGCAGGGAGGACAGAAACCAGGACAAATAAAAACTACTTGATCCCCTGTCAAGTAGATTACGATAAAAGACCTCGAACCATGGTAACCATTTAGGGTTGCTTGACACGCATTATTATTATTATTATTATTATTATTATTATTATTATTATTATTATTATTATTATTATAACATTTCTATGCCGCCCCTTGCCAAAGCCTCGGGGCGGCTTACAACACAATAAAATACATTGAAATACAATAGAACATAATAAATTACCACTAAATACAAAAAATACACTGAGATGCAGCCATTCTGAGCCTAGAGTGAGAACAAGTGAAACTTGCAACAAAACGTTACAGTGTGGAGTGTTTAGAGGTGTGAAGACATGGGCAAACCACAAAATATGAGTGGGATTTATAAATCCAAGTTCTTTTCCAGGGAATTTTGAGGAAATCAATGTGTCCTGACTTTTTCTTGTCTTCCCCCACCATTTATTTTCTTCTAGAATAAAGACTTCGGGGTTTCTTCCCCCAGAGCCTTTATTATAGGAGGGTTGCTGTTTAAGATTACATCCCTCCACCCCCTTCCTTCTTCAACCCCAACACTCTGTCAACATTCTGTGGGCATGGAACAAGTTTGGTCCTCATTAGGCTGTTCACGCACCCCTACCCTTCGGATTTCCTTGAAGATTCTTTAAACATCTGAGAACATCTTCTCCCAAGCCTGCTAATAGGTCCCACTTGTGTGTGAGTACAGCTGTTTTGGCAACAAGCAATGGCATTCACAGCTATGAAACAGAAGGAATTCTGTGCCTTTTTGGTGCAGGGAGGGGTCATAGGTCCAGTCAGGACACACCGGACTAGGAGACTCCTCAAGGATCACCATCCGTGTGCTCCAAAGCGTGACACTGAGTCTCCCTGATAGCCTGTTTTGTCATCATTTTGCTCCTCTTTAAAAGTAAGAACTCTTACATTTCCCAGAATGAGATCCGCAAACTTGCTTACATGAAACGGCGCAAGATGATAGAAGCCTTCAACCTCTTAAAGGTCGAGGAAGGAGCAGACTTCGTTGTCCATGCAGACAAGTGGAAGCTTCTTGTAAAGTTGGTGGCGCCTGATATAAGCGCATCCCACAGAGAGCTCTTGCTCAGAATATCCGATGAAGAGCAGAAGGGCAGCATAGGTGAGTAACAGTCGTGGGCAGGATAGCTGGAGGGGTTTGACCTTCTCAAATTCCCATGCCGATGGACTTCACCTGCATTCAAGTGAGTCAGACTTGCTGTTTAGATTTCACACTCTCCTCAGGGTTACAGGTCGGGCCTTGGCTCAAAACATAGGAGAAACAATTAGGGCATAATCCAGTGAGTCTGCATGTAGCCCTCTGAACACAGAGGGTTGTAGGCATCCTACACATGGTAAGACTGGAGCATGGCAGTGAAGGCGGCCTCTGAAGCCCTTCCTCCATGCAGAACATTTAGAGAGGTGATTTTGGCTCCCCAGGTGTTTGGCCACAGACAGGAGGAAAGGGATGCAAGGAACTGCCAGCAGACTTGTGTGCTGGTAGGTTCGCTCTCTTCCACTCTCTCAAGAGCCTGTCTCCAAGGTCATTCTTGTGAGCTCGGAGCTGCAGCTTGTGCATTTCTTTCCATGCCAGCGGCAAGGGCAGGGGAAGGCACTCCAAGTGTGGAGTCCCAGCTCTAACTTTGAAGCAAATTTTGAGATCAGCGCTGGGACTCAGAAAAATTCTCCATCTATCCATACTCCCTGGCAGCTGTAGGATTGCATTATTCAGATAAAGCATGTGTTTTCTGGGAGCACATATTTTAAATACATATGTTTATGCTGGGAAAGGCATCTGCAATCCCGTGCCAAGTGAGGCTTAAATCAGGCATGGAAATGTGCAGGCAGCCAATGCAAGTGGGGTATAAAATGTTTGGATCTTCTGGTCCCTGTTACCAAGCTGGAGGGAGTTTTTAATATAATGGACCAATCAAAATGGTTACTTTCCTTGTCTGGTCTGAAGTAGAACGGTCCCTTGGCTAACTTCCTCTGTTGAAAAAAGAGATACAGGCTCAGCATTTGTTGATTATTTATCTCAGGACTACCTTTATAGGATCTTGGGCGGCGCACTGGATGGGCAGGCATCCACAATGTGCAGTTAAGCCACGGCAAGCTGCAACTCTCTCTTGGGTGTGCGCACTTACTGCGCACATGCGCTCCAACACCTGCGTGAATGCAGACGGCCTCAATTGTTGTTTGTGTGTGATTGTCTTAATAGCCAAATAGTGGCCAAAGCTGCTTCTAAAACGAAATTCCTTCTACTGCTTTGTGTTACAGATAAAAAATCTTTTGTACGTCTGGCGGATCTTTTGAATATACAAGTGATCACAGTGAAGGTCCACAGCCATCCTTTGGACACCTGGTTTCCCCACCTGTACAACTCTGCTCCCAGCCGTTTCATACACCGTATTGTCCAGCACAAGTATGTCTGTATCATGTGCCCTTTCAGTAAATCTGCTTGGATGGCCACCGGCAAAACACTTGTACCTGCTTGTCCACGTGGCTGTATCGGAGGCACACAGCTGGGCAGCTGTCTAGGTTTCAGAATTAATGTGATGTCAGCTATGTCACTTGGTGGGTGATCACCAGCTCAATTTCTCCTTTCGTCTCTTGCAGGGGATTTGTTTGGCTTTATGATGTGATCATACTCATTAATGCTGTCTTCATTGCATTGGATGAGAAGAACCCATATATTTCCTATGCTGAGTGGGTGTTCCTTTGTCTGTACATAGTTGAGATTCTCCTGAAGTTGTACACCTATGAACCCAGGTCCTTTTTTGGAAGGAACCAGTTCTGGAACTGGTAGGCACATCCATTGTCTTGGCCACCCTGGTTACAGTCACAGCCCAGTTCTTCCCTTCCATTCTCGTTTTTCTGTGTCATCATAGGAAATCATTCACCATGGAGTAGCTGTTGTAATAGCTGTGTTCGTTCTTGTCGGTAGAGCAAGGTGTAACTTCCAAATCAGGAGGAATGTTTGCTTCTTTCACATTAACTTACTATAATAAGCTGTACTGACCGATCTAGAGTTGAATTTGGAGATTGCTTTTAGGAGTGGCTCTTGCACTACACTGCAGAGGTGAATGGAAATATTAATCATAATAAAAAAATAATGTGCTTTCCATCCTTCCTAGGTTTGACACATCTATCATTATTGCTGCCTTGATAGCAACAGTACTTAACTCTACGCTCCGATCAGGTAAGAGGGGTGTAGAGAAAAGCATACAGCGTGTGAGGCTAATGCATTTATCTTTTGCCAGTGTGGTTTCTTGGGACCCTTGGCAAAGCAGAGAACAGCTGGCCAAAAAGGGGCAAGTCCAAAATAGGAGGCATTTGCGGAAACTCACATGACCTTCATTCAGTTATAATGTGAAACCGTGATTTATTGGAGGCTGACATTTCTGCAAGAAGCTTTGCCTCGTTCTGGGTTTACACCGTCACCCCTTCACGTCTGGTCCAGCTCTGAGGAGATCAGAAGAGACCTGTTTTCAGGTTAACCACAATTAATCATAGCATTGCATCTGACCCTTAAACTGCAGTTAGTCTTAACTAGGGTTTATTGAAATGAACCAGATTTGTAAAGCATTGTTTGGCTTTTATGAAACAAAGAAAGATTGATCCACTTAATCATGGTTTGTCAGGATAATATGGGATGATATGTGTTTAATCGAGGGTAGAAGGGGCAGCTTCCATGCGCCTCCTTTTGGCCGTGCTAGAGAAGGGAAGGCAGAGCATGTGCCCACGTACGACCTCACACCAGGACTTCATATCCAAGGTCTAACGGGACAGTGATTTGGTGGTTTGATCTTTTGGGGCTGGTTTTCCATGTGTCAAGTTAGACTGAGCAGTGGAAATGAAACCAACACAGACTAATGCAGAGGTGTTCAAAGAATTGATATTTAGCCCTCTCGTCGGGTTCACTTGCATTTTCTGTATCGGCTCCCAGATTGTTTGGACAGGCAGGACCAGCGTCAAGGGGAGGCATTGTGGGGCACTTGCCAAGGTCCCTGGGATGTGGCACTGGAGACCCATCACTCGCCCCTAAGCTCTGTCATGGCGACTTGCTTTTTCATCAGACAGTGATGGCGGGGAGGAGGAAATGCACACTTGCTTGCACACCAGCTGTCTGGGTGGCAAGGAAAGAGAACAATAGCAGCAGGTGACAGTGGGGATGAGCAGTGGACTTGCTGAGGCAGGGCTCATACCTAAAGGACCTCAGAAACCTGGGCCCCATGGACAGATATTATCTCTGCAACCCCCAAATAGCCCGAGGTGCCCTGCTTTCACTTCAGTGATTCATGCAGAGCATGGAGGCAGGGCTGTATTTCCTGCATGAACCTGATGCTTTTGAGATTTCCCTGCACTTTTCAGTAGCAGCAAGAGCCGCATCAGGGAATCGCAGTGCATCTTCACGTTCTCCTTGGGTGACCTTGTCACCCAGCACCTAGCATGGAGAGGGAGCTTGGTTCTGTGCAGAACTGGACGTCTCTGGTCTGTTGGATACAAGGGCGGCAGATGCTTGCAACATGGCCCACTCGTTTTTTTCAAGGTGTGCTTGGCTGAGGCAGGAAGGCATTCCTAGTCGCTGCCTCAGATCGTGCTATCTGGAGGTTCAAAGGAGCAGGCAGGTATGCCCTGCTATTAGCCTCCTGTGATGCTTATCTTATTTGTTTCTCTCCCTTCCACTTGTACTTCCCTCTGGATGACCGTGCATGAGAAGCTTGGCTTCATCTTTGGAAAGCATTCCTCCCACATGCATTCAAATAAGGAGCTAGCTAAGGAAAATATGAGAATTATACTACTCAGGGCAAATGCCCAAGGAGAGCTGTTCTTGGCAAGGCTGAAATGCTGCTAAAGCAAGGCATGGATGGCCAAGCATGAGAATTAGCACAGAGACTGTTCTTGATGGTTGATACTTCTTGGTCTGCATTTCACTCCTTAGTGAGAATCTATAACAGCCAACAAGTGCTGGACATCGTGTTCATCCTACGAGTTCTTCGGCTCATAAGAATTGTCGACAGTATACAAAGGTAAAATGATTTGCTTTTGTTTTTATTTTTTTTCCTTCAGCCATTTAATTAAGATGTGTGCACAAACAGATTACAGCAGGTAAATGCAAACTTAGTAAGACTTGAGGCATTACTAGATAAAAGATTTGGGCCCTCCTTCCCTAGGATATAAATCTTCATAAATTTGCATTTTTAATCTCTCTCTATATGTGTATAGAGAAGAACAACAATGTATGTGCATTTTGCAGGAGGCAAAAACAGCCAAGTAATTTCTTGTGCACATTATCTCAAATAAAGTCATTTCTTCAGTTCATTTGAACCCCATCTCAGAGCATCCCAAACAAATGGACTCCCCCTCCAAACTTTATTCCTGTGCAGGGAAATAGAAGAATTTAATTTTGGTGTAGTGTGTGGGCATAGGAGAGTTGGCTCTTCCCTTTCCAACTGCGGTTCCCCTTGAAAATTACTCCTTGTGTAGTAATTAGGTTGGGATAGGGGATTAATTGCCACCCAGATCTGGGCCTCTGGCAAATATATTTGGGGCCCAGGCCTAATGACACCTCTGGTGGAAATAATCCAGGGCAGAGTTGCTGTTAGGCTGCTACTTGAGTGAACAAGTGGAAGGGGACTGTAGACCTTTGAGTATGGAGAGCCATCACCTAGTTAAAGCTAGGCTTCCTCTGGAAGAAACTGATGCTCTCTAGTAGGGGAAAGTTCCCACATTCGGTATTGGCTGGAGGGACCGAAAGCATTCCGCCTCACTTCTCATGGCTTTCTCAACCATTGTTTCCTTCTAGGTTCCGTGTGATCATGAATACACTAATAAACATCATGCCTACAATGCTCACCTTTGGTGGGTTGGCCCTGGTGAGCAGTGTTTTAATTTCATTCTTCATTCTGCTTCCTACCCCTGAAACAACAAAGGCTTTGAACTAGGGAGTGACCTTAGCTCAGTGGTAGTGTACTTGCTTTGTGGAGAGAAAGTCAAAGGATCAATCCCTGGCATCTGCAGTTGGGATGAAGTAGGAAACCATTTTGCCCAGGACTCTGGAGGAAACAACAGATAGGTTCACATAACACAGTAACCCACACTCACAGTTAAAAATATGGGTTGTCACTGAACTGTGGTTGTTGTTGAAATGTAGGTTGTCTGGTATGGTCTAAAACCAGGCATGCTGGTTTCACACCATACCAGAGTTTCTTAACCAAGAACGACCTATGAAGAGAATTCATGATTTGTTGTTGTGTTCCGAACAGTGAGTTGTTTGCAGCTGGGTTCAGACAATAGGAAGACCTCATGGATCAACAACAAGCCACATTCAGCCTGTGTGTAGGCCCTGAATGTGCCTTATCATATTGTCTGAACCCAATCACTGAAAAAATGGTGTGAAGAGCATTCTGTTATCCTCTTGTAACCACGAAGGATTGCGACATGTGCCCACAAGAAAGTTGCTAGCTACTATGTTCCAAGACTGTTCTATAATCTAGAAAAGCCACATTTTTAAGAATAAGGAATGCCTTTACCTCCAGAAAGATCATTCTCAGTAGGGTTACATGAACATTGGAAGACCCAAGTCTAAATAGTGGCCCTGCTAGCCCATTGTTAGCTTTTCTAAGTCTTCAGCCAGAAGACCGTGTTTACCCTTTTTCTAGAAATGTATTTTGCTGAAAGTTCTGGAAATCAAACCTGAGACTTCAGTGTGCAGATGGTCTGCTTGGCCACTCAGTTTTTGCAGAACTTTCTTTCAACAAGCTTTTCCCCAAATGACTGGCTACATTTAATGGCATAATTTGATTTTAAATATTTTTGTTCTTAATTATTTTGATCTGTGTTCTTTTGTAGTTGGACACTTTTTATTTTACTGTTCACCACCTGGGAATTTTTTTGTCTTTTGTTCTGAAATTCAGAATAGTTTATAAATTCCATGGAAAAATTAAACCAACCAGCCAACCTGGGGTAACTGTGTAATTATGCCTAGAGACTGTCCTGTGTTTTTATGAGTTGGATTCAGAATCTGCCACCCATGCACAGAAGAGCTCCTTCTGTCCATGGAAAGCATCTGATCCAGTGGAGAAGTCCTGCTAGTGGAATAGAGATGCTTTTGATTATTCTTCTCCCTTGACCCCTATGCCAGGGCCAGCCCTACCATTAGACAGGGTGGGACAGGCACTTCAGCTTGCAGGTGCTAGCAGCAAGAAGTTCACTGAAGGAACTGTTTACTTTGCGACTTACTTTCTGCCCTAGTAATCACTTACTAACTTCAAGTTTGGTGGAGAACAGTGCCCCATCATGCATGTTGAGGCCTGATTCATCTGCCAGTCCAGTTAGCTCCCATGGAATGGGAGGGGCAGCATCTTATTCTTCACCTTAGACAGCAAGACATCTTGGGCTGCCGCCAGCCTGTGCATCCTATCAGCCCCGGAGTGTTGGTAGTTCTCTAGAACAATGAGGGAAGATTTCCTCTTCCACCCACCTTCACCCCTTTCTCCAAGTAGGACTGTCTCTCCTGACCCACAAGGATTGCCATCCAACACAGTGTGGTCTAACTACTTACTTGACTACTCAAAGAGACAACCCAGGGTCTCTGCAAACGGACTAACTGGAATGCTGAACTCAGCAACATCCGGAGCCGCATTGGTATCTAGACTAGCATGCACAGGGGCATTTTGTGTTTGCAGAAGCTGAGGGCGAGAAGGTCTGGCTTTCCAGGGCTGATAATGCGGAGAAACGGCCAAACCCCCAAACTTGCTGGCTCTGGTCATTCTTAGCCCACCCACTGTACATGTAACTATTTCCAGTATTGCTACCTGAGACATTTATGCCCTCCTTTTCCCCATTAGGTGGTGTATTACATGTTTTCGATTGTCGGGATGGAAATCTTCCATGGGAAGGTACAATTCTTTGCCAGGAACGCCACTGCACAGCACGCTGCATACTGCGGAAATCCTGCTCTGAAAGATACCACGTTTGCCCGAGCCAAATATTGCAAGAACAACTTCAATGACATTGTGTCATCTTTCATTGTCCTTATGGAATTAACTGTTGTCAACCAATGGCATGATATCCTTTGCAGGTGGACTTTGTAAGAAAGCAAACACCCAACTAAAATAAAGCCATAGATTTGGAAGAGGGCAGACTGCTGCTATAGCTGCACTTGCCCATCCTTGATCAAGCGATACCCTCCAGTTCTCGAGCAGAAGCATGGGTGTGTTACTCAAAGACTTTCCAGGGTAAATAGCTTGAAGGCTTGCACAGAGAAGTATAAGCAATAGTATCTCCCCCCAAATTCCTTTTGAAAACAATATTAAACATCATGTTGACCTTTGGAAGTTACCATCATGATTTTAAAATTAAACTTTAGTGAGCAAAAGTATCCATTGGGTAAATTCACTGAAGAGTGGCAGGCTTCTGTACATTATTTTTTGGAGTTACCCACACTGCATGTAGGTATTGTCACTGGAAACTATTTCCTTTTTTCAGGACACTCTTGCAGGACTAGGGGTTTTGATCTGATTCTCAGTACCATCTCCACATGCTATGATCATTAAACCAATATGAATATGAAATGATCTAGACTGCACAGGCTCCAGCTCAAGGGCAGGCAACTTGTGGTCCCCCAAGCATCACTGGAATTCAATCCTCGTCGGTCTAGCCCATGGTGAGGGATCACTGGAGCCGAGATTGACATCCGGAGAACCACAAGCTGTCCACCCCTGCTCTAGCCAGAGTTCTGCCAAGCTGACTTTGTGTCCAAGCTCAGTCCAACTTTAGAGCAGTGTCCTATCTAAAGAAGAGTCCCTATCTGTCAAAAAGAACAGAAAGACCCCTCCTACTTTGCTTTCAGCAGCTTTCTGTTTTTAAAGGGGCTGCTTTAAAAACCAAGGAGGGGCTTCTGTAGAAGACTGTGATACAAAGCCCAACAGACTATTTCACTGAAGAAGCGCAGGCACTGTGGTCGTTAGGAGAAAGGCGTGAGGAGAAGTACTTCACACAGTGTGTGCTTTAACTGTGCAGTTCTCTTCCGCAGGATGTGTTCACTACCAGTCTGAATGGCTTTAAAAGGGCACTAGACAAATTTATGGAGCAAAAGGCTATCCACTGTGACTAGGCCTGTTGGCTCCGTGCTGCTTCCTCTATCAGAGGCGGTGTGCCAGCATGCACCACTTGCTGGGGGACTTGGGTGGAAGATGCTGTTTTCCTGCTCTGCTCGTGAGATTCCCGTGGGTGCTGGATTAAATGAACCTGGGTCTGATCCAGCATGGTGGGGCACACACCTGTGGGATTCCTGGGATCCAAATCCTTCACTGACTATCTCCTGTCCGGGGCAAATGCAGCCACCTACTTTTTCTCTTTGTAGTCCTTAATGCTGTACTCCTTGCCAGTGGATTTGCCCTTGTGACTCACCAGGCTGCAAAGCTGTACTTCATCACCTTTCACATTGTTGTGGTTATCATGATTATTAAGTAAGTCCAGCTTCTGCTCTTCCCTGACTGCTGTAAATGTGGGGCTCTTGACCTTGTGTGTGTACAGCGTGTTTGATTGTCTAAAATTGTGTGCCTGCACTTACAGTGAGAGCAGCAGCTTTGTTCTAAAATTAGGCTGCCGTTTCTGCAGGTGGGTTCTTGACTCCTTCTTTTGTCTCAGATGCACGTGCATGTCTGTGGTTACCTGGAAACAGATGAATTGGCTTGTATAGCAACCAGTGGGACGTGCAGCCAAGGGTACCCAACCCTCTTCAGAGCCCTTGAGGGAAAGGAGACAGAATCATTAAGACCTTTGTTCTTCCCCCACTTGTGCCAGGAGTGGGCTTTCCAAACAATGCACTCATGGCCACACTGTCAGTTGCTTTCTATGGCAACTAACGTATTCGATTTTAGACCTTGATGCTTTTTATTTTAGATTTTTAACTCATTTAACTCCCCATCTCATCAAGGATCTTTTGTGTTTGCGTGTATATATTTGGGCAGGATTCAGTTTGGTTCCACTGCAAGTTTCCCCCCTCCAGGACTTTTCTTCCCCTGTTTTTCTATATGCTCCATTACGCAGCCACAAGGCAGTGCTCTGGTATAGCAGAATTGCAAAAATACATGGCCATTCGGTAACGGTTTATGTCGTGGTAGTCCTTTAATAGCTGATCATCCTCGTGCTAGAGAAGATTGCAGAAATACTCACGAAGCATGGCGGGGGCCTGGGGGATGGCACTCCTGTGTGAAGTGCCCACAAACTACTGTGGGTCTAGAATCCCAAGTGGAGAAGACTTCAGTGGTTGCCTTTATTTTGTTTTTAAAACGTTGCTCCTGTTTCTTCCTCGAAAAAAGGCAAAAAGAGTTGCTCAGGGTGGTTTACCAAATAGAAACCCCAAAGAACAATTTAGAATCATTTTCAACCAGCTAAAAGTAGTAGCATGGGGAAAAAACACAGAAAGTCCGTATAAAATGGCTCGCAGGCTCACAGCAAGCGATGGCCAGTTCTTCGCAGACCCATCCCTGGGAACAATAATTGTGGGATGATGCTGCAGGTGGACAATGCTGGACTGGACAGGTAGTCCAGCGTGGTGTAAAGCCACTTCCTGTATACTTAGCCATACCAATCTTGCTTAACCCTGAAATCTTAGCACTTCTTCCTTGAGCTCCCATCTGCTTCTACGGTCAGTATCTCTGGAATAAGGCATAGGGATCTTTTCTGGTCTAGATAAAGAATATTTTCAAAACGATGGCTTAATGGAGAAAAGGCAGCTGTGAAGGCCGGGAAGTGTGTTGGGATATCTCTCCATGCCAGCTGCTGTGGGAATCATGGCACAAAAGGGGCGAGAGCTTGAAGGAGGGTGTGCCTGACATGCGGTGCCCATGGCTCACCTCTTGTTTTATTGTTCTAAGTATCTTTGTAGCATTTATCCTGGAAGCTTTCTTTGTGGAGTATTCCCTTGAAAAGAGTGAAGTAGAAACGGCAATTGAGAAGAAGATCCAAGAACTCGGCGTGGGGATCCAAGAGTAAGTAATCCAACAGCAAAATAGATCTCCTTTTTGAGACTGTGGAGGGAACATTCCTTTCTGTACATGTGGTGTAAAGCTGAATAGTTCTCACCCCACAGATGAGAACTGAAGCTGCAGTTAACTTCTGTGACTTCTGTATACACGTGTGTGTGTGTGTGTGTGTGTGTACAGACAAGGGAGCTGTAAAGCACCAAGGATTCTGTTGCACACATGCGCACACGCAGTGTCTGGATGTCTTTAGATACATGAATATCTTACCTTGTATAATCGTGTGTTCAAAGAGTTGGCCTCAGGCAGCAGATTTTGGGATGTCATGAAAAGACGGCAAGTTGTTCGTCATGCACATTGATTACTGTGTGTATAGTGACCGGCCTTGGGTGTCAAAATATACTGTGCAGCCTCACCACACTATGACAACCCATCATGGCTGACTAGGCACAATGGGCTCTTGCCTCGTCTAAACTTGGGCTGCTTCCCACAGGGTGCCGCCTTTGGAGGGAACAAGCCCCCTTTGATAAACTGTGACTTGTTCTAGGGGTTGTTGAGCTGCTGTTTTGTCTGAACCCAGCAGACTGTTCTGGAAGTGGCTGCTCTGCAGAAGCATCAAAAACTGCCTCCTGCTGGTGGGGAACTCGCTTGGGCCACTGCTAGTGACTGCCCTTCCACCAGTGTCCAAGAGGCACTTTGCAGCAACTGTCACCCGTTTTCCTCTAAGGACCTTTTTGAAACGTCTGAGGAATTTGACAGGGAAATATGCACAGCTTTCATGGCTAGGAGGTAAATAAAATGTTTTAATAAATAAATAAATAAATAAATGGGTGGACAATCTGCACTATGTTTCCTAGCAGTGACATTTGTATATGTTTCTCTATCATAAAATGCACACTTTTGCCAGACGCTTAAATCTAACTAACCAAAACTCCTGGAAGTTGCAGAATGGATTGGAGGAATTCACTCCACCCCACCCAACCTCTTGCTGGAGTTTTTTGACAGCTGCCAAGAAACTGCAGTTACTGAACGTGTCTTCTGAACTCTAAGCCTACTTAGAACAGACTGAAATATCACTTTACAAAGCAAAAAATGATGTACCATGATCATTGCACATTTTGTACCATCTCGCTCGTGCGGTTGCAATGGCAGGATGCCATAGACATGCACACATTTGCACACACTCCTTGCACACGTGTCTGCACGCACACACAATTTCACGACAGCAACAGTTCCATGCCTCAAGCTGTTGCCACTGCTTCCCAGCCACCCTTGTTCAGGGTGGTGTATTCAGAAGGCTTGTGCCTTTAAACTATTTTGTGTTGCTTTAAGGGATGACTTACTAGATGGCAAACTGCTTGACAACATGGAGACCAGTGAAAATGACCTTGGAGGAGAAGAGGGAATAGCTGCGAAAAAGCCTAAAGGGCTGATGTTCAAAATCGCTTCCAAACGTGAGTGCATTGTTGAGAACCTTTTGTTGCTGAATGCTTGGCATAGAAAACACAGTTGAAGATGTTTATCACCAACTTTTAATCTGGGGAGAAACCACCCTGCTAACAGCCTGGTAAAATAGCAGTGTTCTATTTGCCGAAGAGTACATACGTGTGTGTGCGTGTGCGTGCGCACGCGCTGCAGAAGCATTTGGGATACTGGGAGAGGGTGCGTGGGGGAGGAGGAAGAAAACAGCCAAGGATTGCGAGAACAAACCATGGCTCGTTCTGGCATCTGCCGGGTGGTTAGGGCACATACCAGTATGGTGAGATCCAGTGTGGCACAGTGGTTAGTGCTGGGCTGGAGAGGTCAGCGTTCTAGTTCCCTTCTGGCTTTGAGCTCACTGAGCGACTTTGGGCCAGTCAGACTCTCAGCCCAACCTCCCTCACAGGGTTGTTGTTGTGAGTATAAAATAGAGTGGAAGAGGACTGCGTAAGCAACCTTGGATTCCTTGCAAGAAGAAAGGAGGCATATAAATGTAATGTAATGTAACACTGGATTACATAAACCAAGGCTAGTTTTGTGTGAACCAGGTGTTTTCTCACATACAACTTATCCAGGGGGGAAGTCTGACTAGGCATTTCTCAGGGGCCTAAAGCAGCAAAATAAAACTGCTGTTGTGAGGAGCTTTTATGTCCCCCACCTACCCAGGGACATTTGACCTGACCTGCAGATGTTGCTAAAAAAATCATTTAATTCCATTTCCTATCAAATTCCCTTTAAAGGGAGCAAACTAAGAATTAAGAAATAGGAAAGGCAAACTGATGGCTTTACATTTCTTCCAAAAGAATTGGAACATGGGGCCATCCAGATGCTTTGGCCTGTAATTCAAAGGACAAAACAGCTGGATTAGGAGATGTTTATTGAACGACTAGAGAGAGCATTTCAAATATTCTGAGCAAGGAGGCTTATGAAAGAAATCCCCGAACACTGGGACATGGAGCACCCTTGCTGGAAAGGGGAGGTAAAGCTTGTGTGTTTTCCTTTCTGCTCTCTCTCACACGTCGTCGCAGTGAAGAAGAAACCGGGTTTTAATGTAGCTCAGTATTGCTGGGACAATCATCACTTTTGTTTCGTGAAAGAAGAGAAAGCACACTCATCTGCCTTGTTTTTAATTACCAGCTCTGCTGCATTGATTAAGAAAAACGATACTCTGCTTTGTGTTACACACCTTTGTGCTTATCCCCAAGGCTTCTGGAAAGGCCATAAAGAACAATTCTGGAAGTGGCAGCCCTTCCTGCACTCTGAAAGTAGCCAGGTTGGCCAGCATAAGGAAGAGCTCGTTCCACATGCAAGCTCTTAGATACCATGCAGCCACTTCTTTGAAGACTTTTAGGGGAACCTAGTAAACAAATCTGTTCTTGATAGATTTCTCCTAATTTATTTTCTTGGACTGCTTAACCAGAAACCATTTTAGCTGTAACTAAGGGATTATATTTATGTTTTATGGACTCCTCCAAGTCACCTTGGGAGGGTTTAATCCTTCAAGGCAGCCCATAAAGTATTTGCATAAATCTGTAATGAGAAAATCAAACTCTTCCGTTTCTGGCCCTGACTCTAGGATACAGGACTGTGGATGCTTTGCTACAGCGTATGTTTGAAGCAGAGATACCTCCAGAAGAAGAAGGTCCTTCGCTGGATGAAATCTTAAACCTTTCCCCTGATGATGCTTACCCAAAGAACCCTACCTTTGACAGTGCTGCATAATATGGAGAATGAATGGAAATAACTGGAAACTGGGAGCAGCGGGGCAGTACTAATCTTTTCAGACCTCTCTGTGGCTGACCAGCGATTGCCTCCACAACTACCACCAGGACCATCTGCCACTTGGAGCAACAAAGTTCTTGGTGCTTTGCTCTACTGATCCCTTCCTCCAATAAATTAAGCAATACTCAGTGATCAGTGATGTTTTATGTGTATGTATGTATATAAAGCATGAAAAGTGCATTATTTTTATAAAGGGAAAAGCACATTGGATGTGCCTAAAGTATTTGACTGTCTACAGAAATACTTAGCATGCTGCCTAAATACATAGCATTAAAACTTGTAGAAAAATGCCTATTTAACTCTGTAATGTCACTGTTTAACTACAGTAAAGTTTTTATTGGATGCATTATCAACCCAGATATGGGGGAAATAATAAAGGTATAAAGATGAGGCAGTTGCTTTCTCCCTCTTCCTTTCCACTTTTTTCCCTTTTTGTCAAGGAAGAAACACACAAAGGGGTTTGTTTTCTGCCGGCTTAAAGATGCGGCATCTTTGGGTAAGCTATTAAACTGGCGAAAATGCTTAACAAGCTGAAACAAGCTATGGCAACAGAGAACTGAAAATATGACGACTTCTGTATCGCATACTGCCTGCTGCCTCCATCAGCTGGGGAACTACATGTTGCTGGTTGGGGGGGGTGTAGTTACCCACTTGTAAACCCCATTTAGACTCTCAACCTTCTAAATGAGTTACCATTAAGACCTATGGCAGCGCACTACTATGCAATGTGACGAGTGCCAACCTTGTTGCCATTAAAAGGGGACCAGGTGCATTTATAAACTATCATTTGCCACTGATTGGGATGGGTGTGTGCTTCCCCCAAAACTGGAGGCTGCAGGCCTCTGAACACCAGTCTTACGGCATTAGAAGAGGGCTGCTGCCTTCATCTCCTGCTTCTGGTCTTCCGCTGTTAATGAGGGGAAACTGATATGCCTTTGATCTGATTCAGTGGGAGGGCCTCCCTAAATGTCCTTAGGTTTTTTTTCTAGCAAGTTGTTGCTCTCCAGACAAGATCTGGATCCTGGAAGAGTGATTCTAGCATCACTGCATCTGTTCACATTCCCACCCAGCATTACAGATTTGAGTAGCTCAATTTGCTTTCTCCTTTAACTCTCTCCATAGTCTTTTCTGCTTCAGTAGCCACCATTCTGGATGCTCTAAGGCAGTGGATAAGATGGGTCTTCAGATGTTTTGAATGTCATTGCCCAAAAGCCACTGGCAGCATAGCCACTGGTCAGGGGGTTGTAGTCCAAAACAGCTAGATGGTACCAGGTTCAGGAAAGCTGATGCAGAATATTTTTTCTTTGGTGGCCCTGTTGTACTTCCAAACTGATCAGCTAGACAAGGTCTTGCATGTGCTGTCAGAAGAGAACGTTGAGCACATCTTCACATACATTGCCAGAGAATCCAACACTAATCTTTCTGCTGTTGATAGCAGTGAACTGAGTGTGGGTCAAAATAGTACTGCAGAACATTTTCCAACTTAGTGGAGGCTTCTGCCGTATTTGCAGAAGACATTTACTGCCCGCCCAAGATCAGCTAAATGTTTGCTTTAAATGTGTTGGCATTATGAGAGGATAAATAAACTCTTGAGATGTTTAATCTCTGTTGTAACTTAACAGAAATGTTGTGTGACACCATTACACTAGATGGATGCCATTCAGATTCATGGGACTACAAGCCTCATCTGCCCCAGTCAACATGTGTACCTGGGTGCAAGAAACATACACACGAAGTATCTGGTTGCATGAAGGCTGCCTTAAACTTCCTCATGCTACTGGTCTATCTGGACTCTAACTCTTAACTTAGAAATGCCAAGGAAGAGACAGAATCTGAGCAGCTCTGCTTTAGCAGACATGGTTTATATAGCCCAACCCAAAGGAAAAATACTAGAATTGTTTCCACTGTACAACCATAAATGATAAAGACCAGACCAAACCAAAAATCCTCTGATCTCCCAAAACCTGGGAATTAGAATCTGATTCTGTAGCAGATTCAACACCTGTCATCTGGTTTGTCTTCATTTTATTTTATTTTATCTTATTTTAACTTTCTTCCAGCCTTGAATGCAACACTCTTCTTGGGGGGCATCCTTTTCCCACTCTGAAATCTTCCATGGGTTCTCTTCTCACATACTGTTGGAAGCAGTGTTTGCCTCTGACACTGTCACTCTTCACTGTATCATTGGCAGGTGTTACCAACCCAAAGGAAGTCATTTTGGAAAAACGAAAAGGAACATTGCATTGTTTAAGAAAGAAGTCACTCCAGCCTATACAAGTTTTGAATAAGAATCTAAACACTGAGATCCTTCTACATCCATCAATGATTTCTCCTTTCCCAAGGTGTCCAAAATCTACTTGCGTGAACGTTTGTTTTCCACAAGCAGCACTGCCAGCCTGTTGCGAAGAGCTGTTACTTTAGTGGCGTAAGTACTCAGAAATACGTCTCTCAGTCTTGCCCGCAAGCGTCCCAGAGGGGAGAGCTGGTTGCAGTCTTGTACGTTCAGCAAAGTGATGAAGAAGTCAGTCCAAACATCAGCATTAGGAATCCTAGAGAGAAGAAAAGCTCTGCCTAGTAAGATAAAAGCACAGCTACAAAGCTGTGGCATAATAAACATGATCCAGTGTTCAAACATGAATTGATGTTGGTCCCTCACCAAGAAAATTCTGACTAGTCATCTGATAAAGAGTTCACCTACTTAACACATAGCATCTCGTTGGCGGCAGTCTTACTTAAACCTTTATAGTCCACCTTTCTCCCCAAGAAAACTAATCAACAAAGCACAATCAAATAAAAAACAGCAGCCTCCCCCCGCCCCCACAAAAAAACCCAGGCCAGTAAAACAATTCCAGGGTGACAATGAAGCCATCCACCTCAAAAGAGCTGCAGTGTGGAAGCTAGAGAGAGGTGCCTGGGAGGAGAAAAGCAGGTGCCACTACAGCAAAGGCCCTGGCCCAGCCTAAGCAAAGGTGGGGTCAAGAGCACCGCATTGAATATGCATCCATTTCTTCAGAAGGAGTGCAGTCCAACCCAAAGCAGAGCTGCTATTTAATCCTGTTTCCAGATTTCGCACTGCTCAAGAATGCCTCAGTCTTACCTGGATTAAGTATTAACAACCTGGACCTGCAACTCCACGTCACTGTTATAAATCCATCCAGGGTTTCAGACAGACATGCCCATCTCCAGGATACTCCATCCCATCTTTCTAGTTTCCTCTCCCAAATGAGACTCAATAGTGAGTGGCCACTAAGCAAGATCAGTCATAATTGCATCATTTTTGCCCCATTGGGTTTACCAAAAAAAAAAGGGGCTTGAGGCACAATCCAGACTCTGAGGGTCACAAGCATCCAACAGAAGGAGCAAGATGCAAGGCATCTCATGCCCTGTGGTTTTGCCAGGCAGTGAGCAAGGGAGAGGGAAAGAGGTTGGGGTGCTCACTGGATGGGCAAGAAACTGGGTTGCCTCCCCGTCCCCAGCAAACCCGTTTACTGCCCCCACCACAGCCCAGTTATGACCTGGGGAGGGGAGAGTGGGGAGGGGAGGGGAGGGGAGAGTGGGGAGGGGGGCCGACACGGTTTTTTCTGCAAGCTGGGAGGAGGCTTGGTCTTGGAGTCGGAGCCCGCAAGGCCAGGCACATTGGAAAGTCCAATGGTCTCCCAGACAATGTGAGGGAGCCATGCGACCGTTCTGGTCACCTTTCCTGAAAAGGGACGTTATTGAGTTGGAAAAGGTACAGAGAAGGACAGCAAAAATGATCAGGAGGCTGGAACGGCTCACCTATGAGAAATGGCTACGACAACTGGGACTGCTCAGCTTAGAAAAAATGCAAGTGAGGGGAGACATGATAGCGGTGTTTTAAATAATGCACGGTGTGTTAAAAACAGAGAGTGAGGCATTTTTCTCCCTCTCCCATAATACCCCGGGATCATTCCATGATGTCGATTGGTGGGAGGTTCAGGACAAATAAAGAAAGTGGCTCTTTACAAAGTGTATAATTAAACTATGGAATTTACTGGTGACGGCTGCCAACTTGGATGGCTTTTAAAAGGGACTGGACAGATTCATGAGGGAGGAGACTGCCAGTGGTAACTAGCCTTGCTGGCTACCTTTCCCAGGGGTGGCATGCCTGCCTGCACCAGTTGCTGAGGAGCTGGGCAGAAGGAGCTCTTGCGCCCATCCTGCTGAAGGGATCCTGCGGGCAGCTGGTTTGCCACTTTGTGTGTGGATGACTGGACTGGATGGAGCCTGGCATGGCTTCTCTTATGTTCTTTTGCCCTTCACTGTGGCAGCTACTTGATTGCGCAAACTGAGCCAACAACCCAGCTCAAAGACAGTTTGAGAATGACCGTTCTAGACCAACCTCCTGAAGATGCTGTCAGGCTTCCAGATCCCTTGGTCATTTCTCACTTTCATGTATGTGCCAAACAGCATACAGTACACCGTTGCCGCAATTCCAAAATAATCTGTCTGAAAAATAAGAAGGGAATGATCTCTTTATTGGAAGCTTTACAGTTGCAGGTGGCTTGGAGTTGGACCTGGATAGTTGCTCTTCAAGTGACTTGCGATCCTGTAATGTTTCTTACATTACTGCCCGAGAAATTGTGAAGGGCAGGATATAAACACTTTAAATGAATGAAAGCATAGAATCTTGTGTGCATGCAACTTTGCTACCCTCCTATTACCTCTATTTCATTACAGCCTCCAAAGTATGCCGCCAGTGACAGACCAGAGTTTATTTTTTATATCCTGTTTTTTTTTCTTTCTAAGGAACTCAAGGCAGCTTATGTCATTCTCCTCCTCCTCTCAAGCTTAACCTCACAACACCAACCCTGTGAGGTAGGACTGGCTGAGAACCTGTGCCAGGCCCAAAGCCAACAGCTGGCTCCATGGCTGAGTGGAGACTAGAACCCAGATCGGCTGAGTCCCAGTCCTGCACCCTTAACTGCTACACCACACTGGCTCTCGTAAGAGCAACATAAAAGTAGTGTGTACGCCTCCACCCCAGCTTGCATACCTGGTAATTCCATGGCTTGTCTGTCATCATTTCAATACACTGGAATCCGGACGTTTCACACTTTCCTGTGAAGACAGTTCCTTCTGGAAACAGCCTCATGTCTATGCTTTGGCCAAAATCAATGATTGTCAGGCCATGAGAGATGCCGTCTACATCACAGGTGCCATTGTCCAAAAACCTTTGCATTTCGAAGAAGAGGAACCACAATTATTACGGAGTAGTTCAACTGCTCTCATTAAACAACAAAAACAAGGCGATAATCCACGAGTGAAAATATTTACCTTTCACCAAAAATAAAGTTGTCGGGTTTAATGTCCGCATGAATGATCCCACACTGGTGAAGTTCTTCAACCATGTGCAGGATTTTTATGGTGAAGTAGATGACAAGCGCTTGGGGCAGCACCTTCTCCGTCAGCTTTTTGTATATATTTATGGTGTTCTAAGGATGATAGAACGGGGAAGAAAGAGGCATAATTTCGTCACAAGTGGAAAATAATGAAGGGCTACCTTCATTCTTTTCTACTACACTATGTTACTTTACCAGGGAGTAGGCCCCAATGAATACAGGGGAGCCTTTGAGTAAACCCACAGATGAATACAGGCAGTCCCCAAGTTTCGAATGTCTAAGTTAAGAACAATCTGTACTTATGAATGGACTGCCATAAAAGCCTTTTATTTCTTTTTAAATTACTGCAAGAAATCATTATTACCAAAGGGAGAGAGGAAGCAGAAGGGGACAGAGGAAGACCTTCAAAGCCCACCTTCCTGTCCCACTGCTCCGGAGGGGGAAATCTCTCCAGCATTTCCTTGCTGGAAAGAGGCGGCATTGGTGAGTTTGGGTGGGGGTGAGTGGGTAAAGATATTTGTGTTTTTTCCACTTTCAGGTGGGTCCCACACCCCAACCCTCGTGAATGTGGAGGAACAACGATACATGATCCAACTTAGATACAAATCTGACTTAAATACACTTTTTAAAAATTTTCTCAGGAGCAGAACTCATTCATTATCTGGGGATTACCAGTATAATCCTGCACAAACTCCACTGAAAGGAACAGAAGCTTCACCTGAAAATGCCCGTGCCAACAGGACGGACACACAGCCGTCCTGGTAGCACCAATACTTTGTTGATGAAGACTCATATGCATGTGAATAAGAGAATACTAATCTACCTTTAAAACAGAGGTGGGAAAATCTGTGACCCTCCAGTTGTTGCTGGACTACAGCTCCCACCATCCCTGACCATTGGCCCTGCCAGCTAAGGACAACAGAAGCTGGCGTCTAACCACCTGTGGAGGATCACAGGTCCCCGCCCTGACTTGAGCTAAGGCCACACACACCATGCGGCTGTGACATCCTCTGAGAGCAAGACCACACTTACCAACAGAGTTCCATATCCGTAAAGCTCTCCGACTAAAATACTTCCATTGTGGAAGAAGTGAGCAGAATAGAAGTGGATGAAAAGGTGCCGCATGCTTGGATTAAGCCTCTCTGTCAACTGTGCTGCTATGTAGAATTCCCAGGGGCTGGCGGGCTTTTGTACCTGAGAACAAGCAAGGTTCGTGCTACAAAGAAGTGCTCAGAAACTTCCAGGGCAATCACAGAAGAAAATATTTATCCAGATAAGTAGCACTACCAAAATCAAGAACCCAAGAACCCTGATTTGAATAAAAATCAGGCCCTGACCATACTGACTGAAGATGAATAGAATTGCACTCCACATCTGGAAGGCACTGGATTGGAGAAAGCTGAGTTAAACACATTCCACACCTGGTTTAAAGTAGGACAACAGGATAACACAAACTCAAGGGCTAAGCATGGATTGAATGTGGGTTAACAAGGCATTGCTTACTAGAACAGCTAACAGCCTATGCTGCAATGACAACCTGCACTGAACCGTTGAGTGTAGGTTATTCTATTGTCTGAACTCACTGCCTCAAGGCCTATTCACCACCGCCCTTTGTTATAACCACCATAGATGACAAAAACAGGGCCCACATATTGCTGGGTTACAGGCTGAATGCCAGCAATGGCCATTTACGCCTCTTGACCTGGCCAGGCATTCATGGAGCTGGAGAGCATGCCCCAAGGATTTGTGCCACGGTGGAGGGTATCAGTAGAGACCCCCTGGCCAGGTGAGGCCACGGAGCTCTCCTGCCAGGCCAGCACTGACTCCACCCAGCTGCACGTGCCCTTTGCCTTAGCTATGCCAAACTGGGACCAAAAAGGTCCTCCTAGAAGCCTAGAGGGTTTGGTAACATGGCCAGCCTATGACCTTCTACGTTTATACCTGTGGATTGTGCAGCATATAAATACATGGCAATTCCGGTACAGCTCCTAGCCTTAAACATGGAATTCTCACTAGCTTCAGTACATGGAGATGGGTGGATTATTTGCTTAGAGGCATTTGCAAAAGACCTTTTTACAAAAGCCCTGTAAGATGCCCCAGTTTTAGACAAGCAGTTGAAAAGATGTATTGAAAGCTGCCCATCCTGCTTTCAGAGGATAATATTCCTTCTTTCCCTCCACAACTTTCCAAATTTGCTCTGTAGGATTAGGGGACCTTTCCAGCAAATCAGGGACATGTATTGGGAGAAAAACAAGGGGAAAATCTCTTTGCATGACCGGAAATACTCCTACTCAACTGGACGTAGCCAAAGAACAGAAACCAAACTCACTTACCTTCAGTATTACTTTCCGATTATTTTTTGCATTATCCATATCAAGGATTGATGCTTGATAGACATGTGCAAAAGCTCCTTCTCCAAGCAAGCACTCAACATGGAAGGTTGTGGAGTCTGAGTAAGCCACGTGGGTAAGAAAGAACAGAAAGTTGTATAAAAGGTTAGGCTACAACTAAAACTACCCATTTCAATATGCCAGAATTCCAACCAGTCTGCAATAACCTCCATGCAGAACACAGTTCCCTGAAGTACAGTATGAAACCACATGCCTACATCATGCTTTACAGAAAAGATCAACATAAAAGCACAGTAGGTGGTGGGCCTTACCCAATTTGAGTTCAGACTTCGGCTTGAGGACTGGAAGATTCGATCCCCATTCAAAAGTGTTTGCATAAGCACTTATCTGTTTCGGCAACCTGCACAGAAGCTGGGCAATTAAGCTGTCATCCCACGGGTTCTCAATGACTTCACAAAAGAGGAACAGCTGATTAAGTCATTGACCAGAAATCAGGAAATTAAATACAAACTTCTCACTGACAGACACTATCAACGCATGGAGAGCCAAGCTAATCAATGGAAGACTGGAAGATAATTTACAAAGCTTCAGTTTCTCAGATCCAAGCTAGGAAGAACATTTTTGAAACAACTTGACTTTTCAAGACACAAGAAAATCTTCCAAGATTGCAGGATGCTACAACAAGTACTTAAAACATGTTCACCCTTATGATGTCAGAAACAACCACTTATTTACTTGAAATATTAGCAGCACTAGCTAATGAAAGACTTCTGGGAAGTAAGCCCAATGGAATCAAATGGAATGGATCCCAAGGTGTGTCTAGCACGGGTGCTGAACATCTTGTTGCCTGACAGTTGAATTCCATTTTGGAAAACTTTGCTGGGGCTGTTTTCCAGGGATGGGTAGAGGTGAAGGCAAGCGGGGATGGAGCCCAAGGCAAAAGGCTTGGGCTAAAGCCCCAAAACACAGCAGCATTGGTTAGCAAAAATCTATTGCTGCCACCAACTAAGCCAGGGGAGAGACACTCAGCCTAAAATGGGGGGAAATGCTCAAAAATGGAGAAAACACCAAATGATTGGTGGTTGGGAGAGACTGAGGGCTGGGCCAGGAGAAGGAGGCGTGGGCTCCTGGGGAACCCCAGATGGCTGGCTTTAGGCTGAGGGGCCTGAGGATCAAGACCTCAAATGGGTAAGACAGCCCCCTAACTCTCTAGTCTCTAAAGAACAGTACAAGTGGTTCACAAATGCAATAAAATGCAACCATTCAATAGTGAAAAAACAGAGAGGATTGAACGAAAAATAAAAATGCAAAACAAACAACACTCCTAACACAGATACAGACAGAAGAGTTTCCCTAGGGAAACCCTGGAGACGATTTCCAGTATTAGAGACTGGGGCACATTTGTCCTGGTGCAACCTTTTACCTTTTGACACTTGGTAGGCTTGCGCCGAAATGCCACTGAATGGCGTGGAGACGAGGCGAGCGGCATGAGCAAAATCTCCTGTGTTGTTCGGATTGGGTGCCAGCGTTCTGTTGCAGCTATTCGCCCACAAGGTGCAGTCATCCGTCAGGCCCTCAGCAGGCTGACTTTCCTCCTAAGCAAAACACAACACACCAAGGCAAAAACCTGCTGCACCCACCTTTTCATTCAATCAGAAAGTTGCTCTTCCCCAAGGAAATTAGTCGTCTAAAAGGAGCCCTGGCTTTCTGGAGAGGCTGCTTTGTCCCACAAGGGAAGGGCAGTCCTACAAGTTATTTCCTCCCGATGCAGGGCCCATGTATGGCACGAGTGCTGGAGGATGTGTGTGCATTATGCAATTTTGTTTGTTCAATGTATCCATCACAAGCCCTGTCTACCAAGTACCCAAGGTGAGGTACAACCAACATGCCACTAAAACAGTGCACTAAACAAGATTTGCCTTTTGCCTATTACACAGCTCACTAAAGCAAGTTGTTGGAAGGCAGCCGGGTGATCGGGAGGTTTGGACAGCTGAGTTTGGACCATAATTACACTCCCATGGATAAAAACATGACAGCTTCCCCAGTGCAGCCAACCCACAGGCACACCAAGCCCACAACTTTACCCACCCATGCGCACTGCCATATACGCATACAGATATTCACTGCCACGTGGCAGATTGGAATGAGATGGCGCTGGGCTTCTCCCCTACAGGTAGAGACCCAGCTGCACACCTGCACAAGGAAAAACCCGGGCACGCTGGAAGCGACATAAGGATTGCAAAGTTCAGGTGATTTACCATCTGGATTAATACATTAAATGTGATGATTCGCCAAGTAAATCTATTTTTTAAAAAGAGGAATACAATCAGAATTTTAAAAGGTTCAACTATTTTAAATTTAAAAAATTAAAAATTAAAATCGTACTGTAGAGGTTGTCCTTCCTGCATGAAAGAGGGTGAGGCAGATGCCTCTTTCAATGTCAGCAAAAAAGGAGAATGCCAAGACACATGTGCACCTCCTTTAAAAACAAACAAAAAGCTATGCTTTTAAAGCTATTATTTTTCCTTGAAATGTCAGTTTATGGATTTAAATAACCAAGTAGAACTTACACTATCGACAAGTCCTTGTTTAATCAGTCTTAAGCTCAAAGAGTTGCACAGAGCCCTTTACACAAATGCAAAGTTTAACGTGCAAACATCTGGGGGTATGGGGGAGCTTAATGTGCCTCTTACCCTGGTAAGGGAGCAAAACTCCAGCTATAACTCCTATGAATGGTGCAGGAATCCCTGCTGTGCCCTTTGTTGCAAAATGGCATTCACCAAAAATGCTGCATTTCGAGAAAGACGCCCCTGATGTGCATCATCTGTTGCGAGGGCTTTTCACTTACCACTGGTTTGGTGGCACTGCCTATTGTGGGACGTTCACCAAAGACTCTGACATCTGTTGAATTTTTGCATGGCTGGGAGACCCTAAAAAGGAGAGAAAACTTGAATTCACAGTAAGCCTTACAGGACACAGTTTACACAGACGGTCAGAACAGCACTTCAGAAACAGGAGACCACAGGGAACAGCTACACCAGATTCACTTTAGTTCTCCCTTCCCCTGTAACCCCCTCTATGATGTACCTACCAGTTCAGTAAAACTGTGGTATAGTTATGCTATGGAATTGCCACAGGAACTGGTGATGGCCACCAATTTGGACAGCTTTAAAAGGGATTGGACAGATTCATGGAAGAGGAGGCTGCCAGTGGCCGCCAGGCTTGCTGGCCGTGTGTTACCTCTTTTATCAGAGGCAGTAGTCCTGCACACACCCGTTGCTGAGAAGCTGGAGCAGGCAATGTCTTGCACCCATCCTGCTTGAGGGATCCTTTGGGCAGCTGGTCTGCCACCATGTGTACATCGCGCTGGACCGGATGAACCTTGGGTCTGATCCAGCATGGCTTCTCTTATGCTGTTAGCCCTGCCTTTCTACTTGTTTGGCTTCAGTCCAGCACTGTGATTCTAAGGAATTCCATGAAATAAGCCAAACATGGGAAAGAGAGGAGTCCTCCTTCATTTGGGGGCAAGTGCTTTATTTTACTTGTCCTGCTTCACCTTCAGGAAGTTCAGAGCCACGTATATGCAGCTCTCAGACAGTCTCCCATCCAGGCACTAACCAGGACTGAGACCTGCTTAGCTTGAACAACGCAGCAGCCTCAAAAGTCTTCAGACCATTCTGAACTCTGACAGAGGGACCTACACGTACATGTGGGCACACTGCTCTAAGAAGCAGCATGATGAATCAAGCAGGCATTTTTAGGCCTCTTCTAATTAAAAGCTGCTTCCTTGTGAGGTCTGGCCAAAGAATGTCTTCAGAGGTAGCTTGCCTGCTTGGCCACTATCAAAGGAAAGTTCGGGAGAATCAAAGCTTCTCAGCCCATTCTGTCTGCTCCATTGCTTGCTTAACCTTAATTCTAATACACCACCTGAACTACGAGAACCCAAGGGTTGATGATCCCAAGGAAACTCCCTGCAGGGATGTCCTGTCCCAGATTCCTTCGACTTACTCAGCATTTTCATCCTCAAAGATGGTGAAAGCGGGTTGTACAGCAGCAAGTGGGGGCTTCCTCATGGCAGCTTCACACGGTCCTGAAAAGGTCAATAACAGCAAAGGGTAGGTGGGGAGAGAAAGACCAAAGGATTGTCTTCTCTCAGTAAGAACAGGAGAAGACTTAGCACAATCTCTGCATATTGAGCTTTGGACTTCTGTGGATAAAAAACATTACCAACTGAATAGCAGCCCTATTCTATTTTTATTCTTCCCTTTCTCCCACGTCATCACCACAACCAGACTGTGCGGTAGGTCAGGCTGGGCGCTGGGGACTGGGCCTAAGGGGCAACCCTAAGCCAGTTTAGACAAAAGAAAGTCCCACAGCTCCCAGCATTCCCCTGCCAGCATCACCGTAAGTCTTTTTTCTGCCCAAGCAGGGCTGCATCTTAGTAGACTTGCATGGCCGAGGGGGGACTTGGGTCTTAGTCCTGCACTCCAATCCAGCCTTCCCCAACTGGGTGCCTTGCAGATGTCTTTGAAGTACAACATAAAGTAGTCCTATCACCAGCCATGTGGGCCAGGGCTAATGGGAGCTGAAAGCAACAGGGTTGGGGAAGACTGCTCAAACCACTAGGCTATGCCAGATCAGTCGCCCTGCACCAGCAGCCTGTTTAAACTGCTCCCAGTATCTGCCACTTTATAAGGCAGCTTTAGCCAAGCTCCTTTTCTGAGTACACTGGGGATATAATTTCCCCATCACCTGGTATTAATCAACACTGCTTTTCCTTGATCAGTACAATATGGAGAAGCACTAGAATATTCTTCACACAACAGTTGCTGCAGGGGAACTGGAAATTTTAGGGAACGTGGGAGTGAAACTTGCACTCCATGCATCACCTGCTTTTGCTGGCTAAGCAAGCACTCACCTACTGTTGAATTTGGAAGGAGGAGGAGAAAATGGGAGGGGGGGAGAACACGTGTGATTTGCATGCTTCACTTGTCTCCAGCAATTCTTGGATTAAACAACCTAGGAATTCCTGCCATTAAGTGAAAACCAGGTCAATAGTGTGCAGTTCCTTATGTTCCCATGATAAGGCAATGTCCATCAGAGAAGGCTGGGGTCTGCAGGGACTGAAGCTCCATTCCACATTGACACTACCTGGCTAGATAGATCAAGGGTCAGAATCCTAGGCTCTTGTGTGTCTTGGTTTGGCTTGGCAATCAGCCTGAAAAGGAAGGTCTGAAGAACTTAACAGCTTTGTGAAACTTTAGCCCACTCTAATAAAGGTAATACCCTCCTATGATTAAAAGTGTACTTTTGAAATGGACCAATACATGTACCTAAAAAGTCTTCTGTAAGGACTGATCAGGATGATCAAGATGCTACCAACAGCATCACTAGTCAATAAGGCACCCATTTACCTTTCCAATTCTTGGCATGAGAAGCCTTATCAATAAAACTACTCATATACCACAGGAGAATTCACCTCCATGCCATGTGTTGCTAGCTCTGCCTACCTTTATTCTTACAGAGGACCTCAAGCTCATCTTCTTCTTCCTCTGAAAGCATGGTAGTATCTTTTAAGGAAGGTGCCTGGAATATATCCATGATAAAACCTAACAGGGAAAGGAAAAATAAATCTAAGAACAGATCTAGCTAAAAAAGCCACTCTAAGGACATCCAAGGCATAATCTTAAGCATGCTTGGACAAAAAGGCCTACAGTTCCCAGCATGCTGAGAATTGTTGGACTTTTTTCTCCCTGCCTAAACATTTATAGGGTTGTACCTTTAGATAAGAATGCAGCTCATCATGAGTGGAAAAGGTTTTTTGCATGTGGAAAGGACTGTTGTTTCACTGTTTGCACTGAGAAAGCCCTGGGTGCAGCCTTGCTCTATAGCTTAAAAAATGTTTCTAGGATTTTGAGCGGCGTGATCTACCACCAATGAATAAGCAATAGATCATGCTGAATGCTGGTTGCCTTTCATCTCTGAAAACAAAATGGGGAAATATAGTCAAAACTGAAATAGTTGTTCATATTGTAGTGTCTGTCACACAACATGACCGTTCACGTCCAATGACAACCTATTGCTCTAAAAACCTATGTGTCTGCATGCATGGGCATATGTGTGCTTTTACACATTCGAGCACCACCCACAATCAGTTCCTTTCTAGGTTGAGCAGTGTGAGGAGCGAATTCAGATGTGTGGATTGTTTAAAGGTTAAACAACTCAGCAGTGAGCCCAACTTTATGTATTTGTATAGTTATTTATTTGTATTGGAAGCCACCCCGAGGCTTTTGTGAATGGGGGGGATATAAGTGTTCCAAACAAACAAACAAACAAACAATTGCTGGCTGTTTATCCCTAAGCAACTCAGTGGTCCTGATTAGCACATCATGCTGCACAACCTACAAAGAAATGATTGTGGGCTACGTTACAAAGGAAAAGGCAGGTGGCATGTTCACTTGTACATCGTTCCCTCTAGCTAAGACTGACAGGGGATGCTGGAAGTTATAGTCCAACACATCCAGAGGACATGAGGTTGGGGGAGGCTAAAGTAAATGCTGAGCAGGGGCACAGCGGCCTCAGTTATGCTTCCTGGCAAACCGATGGCCAAACCTGTTGAACTAATCTTATCTAGCAGCCACTCCAAAATTGCCAGCCTTTCCTTCACGCCTCTGTATATTTGCTACAAGACAGAAGGCAGGTCCATAGACATGACAAGTCACAGTGGCTTCTTGTGCAGGATGATCTGCCATGCTGTCCAAACCCTGTTGTGGTGATTTAAAACCATGAAAAGAAATGACAGCCTGTTGTGTGGTTTCTCTGGTTGTTCATGGTGCTACCTCAAAGTCTCCTAGAAAGAGTGGCAGCTCCTACAGGAGCTGCTCCAGCTGTTCAGACATGGGATTGCATTTCAAGCACAGCGGCTGATGGGTTAGGTGCCAGCAGTGGGAGGACTGAGTGAGGAAGGTGGAAACCACACTAGCATAGAAACCACTTGATCATTTGTCAGGCACATCCAAGCAAAAAACCACACACCAAGCAGGGTTGCTTATTGTGAGTTGGGAACCCAGCCAGTGACTCATTCACATGTCTACCTGCATGTTTTGGCTTATCTCACGAACTTGCCACGTGCTTAAAATTTTATGAAGAAAGGAATAAAATAACTTCCAGATACACCCAGGGATTTGTTTGTTGGTCAGTTTTAAAGGACCAGGTACTCACCCAAGGCCTCTTTTGTGTGAACAGTAGGAGACGGCTGCACTTTAGATGGAGTTGCTTGTATCAGGCTCGATGTGTTTGGAGTAACCTGATGACTATCAACAAAAACAGAAGCGGTTCTAGCCCCTGATGCTGAAATTATAAGAAAAGCAGTGTAAGAATAAGGACTACAGCAGAAAGGCCTTAGGTGTGTGGCATTTGTTACATACTTCCACTCTATTTCTGCTGCAGAAGTGGCAGCACAGTAGCATTGAAACCAACAGCAGCAAGATTGCAGTAACTGCTTCCGGAAGCTGCAGCAGAGGGAGAGGAGAAGCGGAGCCATCCCACCAGCCCTTTGGAAAGACGACGGCTTCTTTTTTCTTCTTCTCCCCTTCTCTTTCCCCATGGTCTCGTGCCTGGTTAGATTGCAAGCACACAGGCCAGGAGCATCTTGTTCAACTGATTGCTTGGGAGTTGCTGCGTGGTCGGTTTTTTGGCCAAGCTAAAATACTTCAAATAAGTACTTTTTTAAACTTCCATTTGCATCCCATTTTTGTTTATCAGCACCCAGTGAGGACAAGACATTTACACTGTAACACCCAGATCCCAGTGACGCTTCAGTTCAAGCAGCAGTCCACTTGCTATATTGCAAAGCTGGCAGTGCGTTACCATGACAGCTGCAGAGCAGAGCATTCCCATCTCTCATTTCTGTGGAATGCTGCTGGTTCTGGCAAGACGTATCCAAGGGCCTGTGCAGAAAAGAAAACATGATAAGTTCTTCAATATGGGCTCCATTCAAAAGGCAACTAATTCTTACAGGTGGGGGGAGAGTTACCAACATGAAGTACAGGCAGTCCCCAAGTTATGAACATCTGAGTTACAAACAACCCATACTTACGAACAAACTGCCATAAACTCTATTAATTTTTTTAAATTACTGTGGAAAATTGTCATTGTTATACAGAGAGGGAGGAAGCAAAAAGGGATAGGAGGAGGCCTGCAAAGCATGCCTTCTGTCCCACTCATCTGGATAGGAAAATCTCCTTGCTCCAGAGGGGGCACTGATGAGTTGGGGTGGGCTAGAAATATTCATAATTTTTCCATTTTCATGGGGGTCCTGTGCCCCTAAGTCCTGGCAAATGTGGAGGGCTGACTGTATGTGATCCGACTTGCATACAAATTCAACTTAAAGACAAATTTCTGCTTTCTTGGGGACAGAACTCATTCATAACCCAGGGACTGCCTGTACTGCTCTGAGCACATTTTGCAAGCGTTTGAAGTAGAATAAAGGGTTTTCAGTGCTGTGCCAGTTTCAGTTATGTCTGTTGAAAAAATAGTGGGGTGGTTGTAAATCTTCATGAAAAAAATGAAATGGGACTTCCAGCACAGGCTTTAGCAGGGACACCCTCCAGAACAGGAAGTATACAGGAGTTTGTAAAACATTATCATGGCTATTAATCTACAGAAATGAATTTTGTGCACTGTAACATGTAGAACTCAATTTAAAAGTGATGTCTGAGATATGTTAGTTTGGATATTTTCATTAAACAAGCCAATTATGTTTACTCTGAAGTAAGTTCCACTAAGTTCAGTGGGGCTTACACCCTAGAAAGTGTGTTCAGGATCGTAGTCTAAGACTAGTGCACTGGCATTCACTAGTAACTACTTGGAAACATGAGCATGAGAGAAAAGTTGACCAGACAGATGGATGGAAGACTCTAGAATTTCTCATATGAAATGCAGCTGATTGGCCTGCTCGCAAACCCATATTTCACCACGACATTTCCTTGGCCAGAATGATAAAAATACACTTGTCCATATAAGAGCTGCTTTAGTGCTCATCTCACCAGCACTGTGCTCTCCAGTAGTTTTGGACTAAATTATGGCTATGGCTGCTGGGAACTGAGATCTAAAGCAGCTGGGGCACACCAGGTTGGTGAAAACTGTTTTGGAGAAGTCAGCACATCAAGAATTTGGAAGGAGAAATACAGCGGCGGAGGCAAAAATGTAAGGAAAAAATTTTACCACCTAGTCCTTTTTAAATATCAGCTATATATAATAACGAATAAAATCCAGCCCTCAGCACTGTTAAAAATGCTGACATGCTATTTAGATAAGCTTCCTCATACTTTCAGCCTACATGTGGGATGGGATCACATTTATCCATCTGACATGCCTCATACAGAACAGACCATATAGGGCCATACAGGGATACGATCTTTCCACAGAGGCCCAGTGGAGACACAGGGGGAGTTTGGGCAAACAGTTTGCCTGTACATGCAGGACTTTTGTTTTTCCCTTTGGGGCGGAAGCAAAGAAATCAGGAAGTCTTTAATTCACAATAGTTTCCTGTTTCCTTTGAACTGAGAAACTACGATTAACAGTTTCAGGGCAAGCTAAGATATTAAATCATGGTTTGAGTTGACTTAATAACCTGCGTTTGTTCCAAAAAGCATAGTTTTCCATTTTTGAATGAAACAATACCTACAGTTGACTGAAGACTGGCTGCATGTACAGGCAAAAAGCTCAGTCAAATCTCAGTCCAAAGATCCTACTTGCACCCATCCATCCAAAGGTCATCTATTCTGGAGAACACTGAGTGAGTAAGACTTAAATGAAAAATGTATCAGGGATATACACAGGCTATGCCTGCACATAACACTAAGCAATGGTACCATTCATGTTAATCATGGTTGTTGCTTTGAACTGACTTGCATATCAGCATAGGATTGCTTTCCCTCTTTCTGGTTTGCTTCTCTCCCTCTCATTTTGCCAGCCTTCAGACTGGTTTCAGTATCAGGCTGTTCCTGCTATCTTGGAGTGTACAGTAGCATAAACAAGCCAGGGATAACCATGGCTCTGGGTTTGGACTTCAAAACAAACCATGGCTTAAATAAGCCAGGGTGCATAATCCAATTAAAAACTGTGGACTCTATTTGTGGTCTGCAGCTGATTAATGAACCATCATTTTTATACAGAGATCAGTCTCAAAACAGTAACAAGACAGATTTCAGGAAACTCCACTGTGGCTTAGCATTAGGCACAAACCAGGTCACAATGTGGTTAAAGGCAAACAACCAGTGCAGGAGTTGAGATGCCTGGAGTTTACTCACTGGGATCCATGACGGTAACTGTGGATGGTGGTAGAACAGCACGAATCCTCACAGCTGACTTGAAGTTTACGCAAGCTACTCTCACATTCTTTAAGATCAGGTTTAGTTTTGGATGCCGCTGACTCAGTTTGCGCAGCCATGGAAGAAATCAATGCTGACTGTTGCTGGAGACTTTCATTTGGTTGTGGAATTGAAATACCACCCGCTGAAACCTCCCTGAAACTTGAAAGCTGTCGCTGATTCCCGGTTAGCTGTGTGGCAGAAGTTCCTCCTGCTGAACTCAGATGTGTAGAGCTCACATTCAAAGAATTGTGTAGAGCTGAAGTTGAGGAAAGAGCTGCCCATTCTGGCCAATGCTGCGCTGTGTTGATTTGGACACAGGGTCCACCCTTATCAAGTGGAAAGGAAAGTACATTTTGGCAAGCAGAATCATGCATGGTGGTTTTGTGATCTTGAAACACTTCTAAGCTATGCCATTACAGATTTCAAAATGTGTAAGTATGCATGGGTTTGGGTACCACAATCACTAATTTACTTTAATTTTTCTTTTTAGTGGTCTACCACAAGCAAAAACTCTTTTATGGATATTCATAAACTCAGGGAAGGTGGGTTGTAAGTTTTAAGGAATTTAATTTAAATTTAAAATGTGCATCCCATTCTGTCCTGAAATATGACTCCACACATTTAGGAAAATGAATTTTAGAAGATGACTTGTACTGAACCATGTTTAGGGCTTGACTTTGGACCTGGACTTTTATTCATTGAATTTATACACCTGCCAAATGGCAAATGTTCCATCGCACACTACACAGAGAAGGACCTAGATTCTACTGGTGGGCACCATCGTGGTAACTTCAACAAGAACAAGATACAGAGAAAAGGGCATTCCTGGAGATGCACAAGGTCAAATCTTCTGTTCCAGTCATGAGACTGGAGGTGCCAAGATTTGTCCATAATCTGACGACCACAGTGTTCTCTCAGCATGAATCTAATTGTACACCACATTCACCATTCACATCCACCATCTACACTGAGGAAGGCTCAGAATGTGGCAACACATAAAACGGCCATCATTGTGGTGGCACCAACATTGTTATCTTTTCAGTATCTGCTACTCTCAGATGTTTGACAGCACATTATGAGATTTTAATCAGGTCTTAAATTTTTCTTGAGGCTGAATGTTTGAAAGTGCTTTTTAGATATATGCGTGCCTCTCTCTGTACTGTACTTTTATCTGTATATGGCTTTTATACTATATTTTTAAGCTTTAAACTTTGTAAAGTTTATAAATAGCTTTGGCTATCGGATGGTATAAGCACTGTAAGAAATGAATGGAGACTGAACATTAATGTCGAGGAACTGTTCCCCAGTACAAAATACTACAAACATACCAGTGTGCTACTTAGAAGGGATTGGCGTATAGATGGCCCCTTCTGGGATGAAGATGATGTCTGAGAGAGCTGATCCAGTTTCTGTTGTAGTTCTTGCAGCTCAAGGAGGTCATTTTCTTTCTTTTTCATGAACTCTTTGTCTTCATCCTCTGAATGCATCAAAATGCACGTTGCAGAAAGCAAATCATGTAACATTAGTTTGGGGCTTGTTTGTCAGTTGAACAGTGTGATGAATGAACCCACACATGTGGGTTGTATAAAGATTAAGCAAACAATAGTTAACCCAGCATTAACCATGGGTTAACCACTGGCTGTTTAGCCCCTAAACAAACCAGTGGTCCTGGTCTGGTTGCACAACCTACAAAAGCACTGAACAAGGGTTGTGTGTGAAAGTGAAAAAGGCAGACAGCATATCTACTCGTGCCTGAAAACATATTTGTTTTTAAATTGATGGAGTATCACTGCACACCAGCCAGATCAAACAGTCTTTCTACTCTAGAACTTTAGACTTTGCTTAGCAAAAAACTAACCAGATCAAGCTTTCCCTAAGCTGGTGCCCCTGCCCTTTCCGCTCCTTAGTTTGCTAGCTGTGCAGAAGGAGCTGGGTGTGTAGCAGTGGGGACGAGTGTTCCAATGTCAGAAGGGCACAGAATGCTCTCTGCACGGCTATCCAAACTTAAGGAGCTGTCTGTGGTGCTGAATCCAACTGGTCGACACCACCCACCTCTACTGCTGGACAGGCTTATGGGTGAAAAGTTGATTGGGAGGAAGTCCCCAAAACCCGAGTGTTGGAGAGCCAAGAGGCAAATTCCTTCATAAAGACATGGAAAGAACCTGAGAATTAACAAAACTCTAACGTGGAAGGAACTGGCAGGTAAGTCAACCTTTAGTTGCAAGTTAGGATGCAAGGAGAGGCACCTTATGCAACAGCCCCACAACCCCCTTCTTCTCAATACTTGCTGAAGTCGTGTCTTCTGAAAACATTTTATGTTAATGTTCTTTAGGTGGACTTTTAGGATTTGGATTTAAGCTTGTATGCAAGATGACATTTTAGCCTGGTGCTAGGCATCGTTCAAAAGGAAAAGAGGTTGGTCTAGATTAAGTTAGTTGCACTTTTGTAACATGGAAATGAATGGTCAAAATTAACCCCTGTTGATTTCAGTGGGACAAAAGTGCAATGAACACAGCACAATCCAACCCAGGGTGTGCTTATTGGATACAGAATCTATTTTAAATGTTTTGAAACTGCACCTTTAGATGGTGGAACAGGGCCAATGGGAAGCCTAAACTGTAATTACCCCATTCCTTGTGCCTCTTCAGACGTTCAGCCTTCTTCAAATAAGCTTTGGCTCTTACTTCTTCAAAGCACAGTTCAGAACCTTCACAATAGAGGAGGTTCTTAGCATACATAGCCTTCTGCTCAAGGAGACCATTAGATGAAGATGTTGGCAGGACTTCTGATTTGGAAATGGTGGTTATATATTTAGGCTGTTCTCTGCAAAGAAAAACATGGTGATTCCTGTAAGATCCTTATCAGCAGCATCCTTTGCCCAGAGGTACCCAAAATAAAAAAGGCAGCATTTAAACACAAGCAGACATTCTATTCAAACAGCCAGCAAATAAATACCAACCATCAGTCAGTCCATAATTGATAACCCCAGATAAGACCGATATCTGAGTTAATGACAGAATGAAGAATACATTTTGCTGGACATGTGCTTCGCATGAACAAACAATACCCTGCTAAGATTGCAATTAACTGAATTTCACTAGGTGGTTGGAGGAGGAGAGGGAGACCAAAAAGAGACCTAGTCAAACATTCCAGAACGACCAAGAAGTATCAACCTTGAATGGAACGATAAAGAAACCGTTGCTGCAGATCAAACACTATGGAAGGCGCAATAGCCCAATGTGCCCCACAGGGGACATGAGGAGGAGAGGGGGGAGGAGAGGGCAGGGGAAAGCAGCAGCAGCAACCACCCATAAAGAAGCACTAAGCTGACTCCGGCACTCCGGCTACAAAGCTTCCTGGATGAGCCTGGCTCATTGTCTCCATCTATTAGCCTGACCCATTTCACTGGACTATGGTGAGGACAAAAAGGGCAGGAAGGACATTTTGAAGGATGGTTAAAAATGTAATAGATTCAAATTTTTTTAAAGGGCAGGGACCACAGCGAAAGCCTTGCTTTACTAAGGGTTACACATGGACTAAGATGTCTCTTCAGGTTCTCAGGACCCAAACCATTTAGGAATGTACTTTGAGTTAGCCCTTGCAAAGCACTGAACCTACTTAACACAATTAAAGAGAGTGCTTTTGAAAATAGACACTTACATGTTTTCTTGTCTTCGACTAGCCAGGGGTGGTGGCTCAGAATTGTCTGGTTTCTAGAAAAAATGAAAGTTAACACTGAGGGTTCTTCTAGTGTAGGAACAAATACCTGCAACATTGGGGAGTGGGGAGGGGGAAAAGAAAGCCTAAAGCAGGGGACTGCAAGCTTTTGGGACCTCTGGGCACATGTGGAAATGTGCAACACTCCTGTGGCACCTCCACAAAAAGAAACCCACAGAGGCTATGTCTAGCCATGAGATGGCTACCACCATGAGGGCCTTGCTGGTCAAAAGGCAAATTATTCATCCAAGAGGCCAAGTACAAACAAGGCAAGGAACTGTACTCCAAACTAATTCACATATTGGACCACACAGATACACAATAAGCTACTAATTCAAGGTTGCAATCCTATGCATGTTCAAATTCAACTCAGGGAGAATTACTTCCATGTAGGCCTACACTGGAATACTCTACTTACCCTTCTCACTCTAACACACACACACACCTTCCTCCAGCCTCAAAGAAAAGGGAAATACCAACCTCAGAACCAAAAGAAAAAGGTTTTCTGTACCTTGGTCCCAGTCTCAGCAGCTCCATTCCCCACCTGGTACTCCTAACTCCTCCTCTGCCCTTAGAGTTCCACAGGGGAAGCTGTGTGTGTGCAGGTGAAGAATGAGAGAAGGGGCTAGGAAAGGGGAGAAAACAAGCACCCTAGGGACAGAAATGGAGTTGGAAATAGTGAAAGAAAGAGCAAGGCTAGAGACTAGGAGGCGAAGAATCAACAAACTAAAATGATGGAAAGAGAGAAAAGGCAAGGCTAAAAGCTGGGAGACGAAGAAACAGCAAACAGGTTTTGCGGGTGGGGGAGAAATACAAAGGCAGAGGGTGGAAGGGAGGGGGAACTGGGAAGGCAAAGGTAAAAAGAAGAGAGAATAAGCAAGGCTAGGGGCTAGGATGGGGGAGAAACAGCAAAGTGGGAGGAATGGAATAGCAAGGCTAGAAGCCGAGAGTGGAAACAGCAAGATAAAAGGATGAGTGGAAGCAAAAGAGCAGGAATCAGACTAAGGGAACAAAAGAGGGCACAGAAGAAAGGAGAAGAAGAAGATTGGGTCGGGCCAGGAAGCAACTCTTTCCCTCTCTTCCCACTTGCCGATCAGCTTGCATATTCATGAACAGGAATCAGAACTTGGCACTCTGAGGTTTTTCAGATTTTAAAAAGTAAAAAAAAAATGGACAGGACAAGGAATAAAGAGTTTGGCAGGGACAATGCTGCCCACAAATACCATGTTAGGAACCTCTGCATTAAAGGCTGTCCCCCAAGCCTTAAGCCTGGATGGTATCTCCATTGTACATTTGCATGAAGCCATACATTTTGAAGGCACTGCAGCACCTATAAAAGTATTCATTATTAGGGATAGAAATGTAGAAAAGAGCCATTATAGCTCAATAAAAGGGCTCAAGCAGGACCATTCAACATGTCCCTTGACAACAAGCTTAAACAGGTTGGAGGATTTAGGACCAAGCTCAATCATAAGCTTAAGACTAAATGTATAATTCCAGTAGACTGGAAAAGGCCAGTAGTGATAATCCATCAAGGGTTTGTTATTATGTTGCCTGATATTAACTGGTTTTATGTTTTAATTGCATTCAGATTTAACAAGAAAAAGGCTCCAGTTACAATAATATGAACCTGTCTGATCGCCATTTATATCAAAAATTTCAACGCAGGTGGACACAAGGAGAAATCAGACCCCCACCCCCGTACCATCCCACTGTCATATGTCTCAGTCTGACTAAGTCTGACTAATATTTGTAGATACCTGGTTTGGAAAAACACAAGCTGACCCATCTTTAGAAGCCATTTGATTGGACAGCTGGCGATCAAGTGGCTGCAAGACATCAACTACGGAAAAAAAACAATCATTAGATAAGTAAACAATAGGCACTGATGAACAGAAAGAAGTTGTAACCTTCACAAATTTAAGGTCTAGACCAGCCTTCCCCATCCTGGGGCTCTTCAAGATTTGGGATCATAATTTCCAGGATTCCTGACTACTGGCCATGTGGACTGGGGCTGATAGGAGATGAAGCCCAAAACATCTGGAGGGCACCATGTTGAGGCAGGTTGATCGAAATCATGGGTGCTCAAACTACGGCCCAGGGGCCGGCCCGCCATGCCCATTTGGACCCGCCACGCCCATACCCACCGCTGCCTACCTCACCCCACGTGTGGGGAAGCAGCGGTTTGCCTCGCCTTGCCTCACCTCCCCTCACCACACATGTCCACCCATGCCTCGCCTCCCCCCGCCTCAGCATGCGCGCCCACATGCACCACCCCCACACCGGCCCGCACGCACCACCAGCACCACCTTTCCAGCCCGCGTCCAGCACCAGCAGCTTTCAACTGGCCCCCTGGTGGAAAAATGTGAGGACCCCTGATCTAAATCCACATTCACAAGACAATTAAAGGTAAATAAGCTGATTTCTAGAATATGGCATCCATTTCTTGATATTCAGATTTGCAGTGTAGAATGAACCAAAAGAAAAATACCACTTCAAAGAAACAGAGATTTAGATTACAATCTGTTCTCTCTCACTGATTGCTTGCTTAAAGCTGAAAGGAGACTAGAAGAGATTGGCAAAAAGTAAGCTTCTATATAGCAACCCCCCGTCCAACCCTCCACCATCCCCACCATAGGGAGTTAATCCAACCCCTCTGCAGAGTCTGGGCCCAGTCCTCACACCTCTCTACAAGGACAATAATGCCAATGCACCTCAGTGGCCCCTAGAAAAGAGCACAAGTAACTGCAGAATTATGCAATTCTCCTTCTGTAAAATCCTTAACTTGAGATCCGGTAACTGCATTTGGGTGCAGCTTATTTTTCCTCCCTGATCCAACCTTATTCTCTAATCTTCCTCTTGACAAGCTCTCATTTAGCTAGTTCTTTTCCCCTGTCCAATACATTTTGTCCCAGTCTTGTCCTGGCTCTGCCCTTTTTGGTCCTATACACTGAAGATCAGCAAGCTCTGCCTCCAAATGTGGCTATGGGGTGAACATGGTGACCATATAATTACAGCAACTCAGGAGAGATCAGTAGACTAGAGAACCCAGCCCTTTGTTTTGGGATATAGCCATTGTCAATCCACATTGAAATGTGTCACCAGCAGGCAGCTGGTGCAGTGAAGGAAGCTGTCTCTTCCTATGATCAGGGCCTGCCATAGATAATATATAGGGCTAAACATAGAGGTCTTCGGGTGAGAGACAGATATCCAGGCAAGGTCATAGACTTCAGCAGGGTTAAGACACACACTATGGGACATCTATCCATGACAAGCTGTGCTATCTGTGAGCACCAGATTGCGTATCAAACTGCAACACAGGTGTTGCTCTGTCATGCAAATCTGGCAATTATAAGTTGTGGGATGGTTAAACAACCCTACCCTTGGATACCATGGACTATGCAAGGGTAGTTTAACCCTTACACAACTCATGCTTGCTGGGTTTGCTCAACATGAGAACCCCAAGTAGGAGCTGCATATTCAAAATGGCAACCACATACCCCATGGCCTCACTGTGTGTTAAATAAACAACAGTAGGGTCTCACAGCATGTGAACAGCCTTGAGAGTTGCAGAATTACTGGTAAGCATCTGGTCTTCAATACCATCTCACAATCATGCTGCACCCCAAGAGATCTCAAGTTAACTTCATTCTTTTGGTCAAATACAAGGAAATATTGTACACTATTAGACAGAATCATCCAATTTTCACTTTCCTGTATCAGCTCTCCACTACTATGTCTCAATATACATCAAGGGTAGCAGAACATGTTGTACTTTCTACAAGTTCTGGACTACAACTCCCACAATCCCATGCAATTCCTCTGGTTAGGGATGATGGGAGCTGTACCATTCAGAGGTTTGGTCTACCAGATGGTCTATATTCTGAAGCGCTACATTAAAGAAGTTCAACACCAGCAGTCAAAAACCAAGTCTCCAGCCATAAACAGCTTAGTCCCCCAGGTCCTGTATATCAACATAAAAGTCAAAAGAAAATAATATGTAGAAATAGGCTCTGCTATATATTTGAGATCTCTAGTTACAAGGAAGGCTGAAAAAGAAATAAAATCAAACAGAACCACAAGGGTTAGCTCAGTTTTGGCATTTTCTGTGAAGAAAATATACCTCAAGTTTGCTTTCAGGAATTCAGAAGTGTCTAGTTAATTTGCTTAAACAATTCTTAGATTATTACATTTCAATACATCTATGAAGCAGAATTAGACCCACCTTGATTTGAAATTGGATTGTGAGGCCAGCAACTCTGTAACAGTCTAAGGATGAAGAAAAAAGATAATAATGAACACTATTTAAAAAAAAGAAGGTCAAACGTTCTTGTATTAAATAAGACTTAAAGTGCAATCCTAGACAAGTCTGGACAGTACAAAGGCCTACAAAAACTCCTCTGGCTGGGGCAAGCCACGGGTTGAGGGTTTTCTTCTGCCTAAACATGCCAGGATTGCACTGCTAACAACCTGAACAGAAATAAAATGTTCCTTGCATTAAGGACAGCTTATAAATGTGTCACAAATATGAAGAAGCCAATGGCAACGTGTCACTGAAAAACTCGCCAGTTGCTGCCAGCATGTTGCTCGCCAGTCCACATGCCGGTCGTTATCCACGAGGCTTTCACTCTTACATCCCACTTTCCATTTCACCACTGGCACAATGAACGGAGCATTAGCAGCTTTTATGCTCTGAAAAGCACATATTTACCTTGGTGATTCTTTGTAGATGAGTTCACACTTAGCAGACGATACTGGAGGACTGAAACATCTCAGGAGGAGACCTAGTCTTCCCTAGCTAGCTACCACAAGCAGTGACACAAGACCTACAGACCCGTTTCTCTATGGCTGGTGATGTATTGCCACCATTTTTTCTATTTTATCACACAACCCTAGACATGTTTAAGCAGAAAAAGCCCATGCCAGGGGTTGTGGGACCTTCTTCAGTCTACACAAGCATCGCAACTTACTTGCCAGTTCTTTTTCAAACTTCCAGTTTCTTGGCATTCATTTCCACCTGTTTTAGCATCTGAGGCTGCAATCCTATGAATACTTACCTAGGAGTCAGTCCTAGTTAACACTGTGGGACTTACTTCCAAGTAGGCATACAGAGAACTACACTGTTAAGAGGAAAAGGCACTGAAATTGTTCTTTTGACAGAATATAGAAGAAAGAGGCTAAGCAAAGTTGGAGAAGCTGAAGGTTGAGAAGATGAAAAAAGCTCTGTCTTGGTGGATTTTAACCAGCCACTTTTCAAATGACCAGCCATTTCCTGAGGTGGATTGAGCAGGAAAGGGTGGCAGGCATATTCCAGACCAAACTCTTTCAGGCTCCTCCTCTTGCCTGCAAGAGGAGCAGCTAAGCCCAAAAGTTCTGTTCATAACAAACCATGGCTTATTATTATGCCTCAATGGGGATCGAGTAACAATAGAAGGATGTGGGGCACCCAAGGGAGGAAAGGCGTTTGACGTCAAGATACTTAGCTTCAGCAAGGGGCATCACAGAAGCCATTTCCAGATGGAGAATACACACCAAGTGTCTCAACTGCTAGACGCCAGCCAAATTAAAGCTCCCAAGCAATACTACTCAAGAGTTTCTGGGGAGATGGGAAAACCACAATCTAAGAAAACCTTCACCACCATCCGCCATTCTAGCAGGCGATGCTGATGGAGATGAGCGAGGAAAGCAAGGCCTTTTCACTAGTTTGGTGGACTGACTCAAACGTTTCTTCCTCTTCCCTCCCCATGCCTTTTATGCACCACCCTTCTTCAGTATATTATGGAATATAAACATCACATAAAGACAACACAATATTCTTGTCCTGGGCACTATCTTTTAACCAGCTACTATTTATGATATCGTGAATATACCTGACCTCAAAACTATCTATACATTAAAGCCCATACATAGACGTACCTGTTTTGCTGATGTAAGGTTTCAACGGGCTGTGCTTCATTGCAAATACCCTTCTGAATAACAGCATTTGCATGAGACAAATGTCCTTGTATGACAAGCTGCTGAGCCCAAGCAACATATAGAATGGATGAATGGTTACCAATTCCTTGGTTGTACAAAAAGTCAAAAAACTGACTTGGGTTATCAATGAAGGTGGCCTAGAGAAGACACAAACATAAGGTCTTTAAGGCACTAATTTAAAAAAAAGTAAACTCAACTATGATAATGCTCTGATATAAACAAGAAGAAAGCAAGTAGCAACATGATCAAAATGCAGATTATAGAGCTGGAAAAAGTAGATAAAAGGAAAATGATCAAAGGAAAAATAACCTGATAAGGAAAGATTGCAGCACCTGGGGCTTTTTAGTTTAGGGGGAAAAGTACCAGTAAGGGGGTAGAGAACAAAGATCTTTCTCATTACGCATGATATGGAAAAAATGACAAGGGAGATGCTTTTCTCCCTCTCCCATCATACCAAAACCTAGGATAGGCCAATGAAGCTGAATGGTGGGAGATACAGGACAGATAAGGAAGCACCTGTTCACACAGTGCATAGTTGAATTATGGGATTTGGTACAAGATGTGGTGATGATCACCAACTTTGTTTTAAAAGGGCACTAAAAGGAAAGCTGTCCCCCATTTCTGCTACCCTCGGTATCAGAGCAGCATACCTATGAACACCAGTGGCAGGGGAACATGGGCAAGACAGTGAGGTTGCCTTTGTATCCTATTTGCAGGTTTCCACAGGCAGCTAGATGCAATGACATGTTGCACTAGATCAGGGGTCTCACACTCGCGGCCCGCGGGCCAATTGCCGGGACGGGGGGGGGGCACGGGGGAGGGGCCCTGCGGCCTTCAAAGCGCCCACCACCCCCACAGTGGTGGAATACTTGATGCGGCCCAGCCTCACCCAGACTCTACTTCCAGCGGCCCCCAGGAAAGTTGAGTTTGAGACCCCTGCACTAGATGGACCTGTCCTCTGATCCAGCGGGGCTCATCTTATGGTCTCATCAATCTGCCCTTCCACAGAATTTCATGGGTAACAGCAAGAAATGGGAGGGCCCCTTCAGTACCAACACCCTGTGTTTGGAATCCTCTCCTCAAAACAGTATGACAATTGCCAGCTCTTGTTAAAAGCCTATTTATTGAACCAAATTTGCTGATTCTAATGTCTAGATTGTGGCTTTGTTGCACAGGTTTTTTTTTTTTGTTTTCCTCGTATTTGTATTGTTCTGCTTTTTGCACTGCTGTAAACTTCTCAGAGAGCTTCAACTATGTGGTGTTATAGAAAGGAAATAACAATAGACTTGGTTGTATAGCAAGTTATAATTTCAAGTATAACTTTGATGCATTTTGTGCACCATCCTGAAATTTATTGATAAAGCCCCATATATGAATATTTTAACTTTGGCCACCTAATGAGAAGGAAGAACTCCCTGAAGAAGAGCCTAATGCTGGGAACAATTGACAGCAAAAGAAGAAGGGGACGGCACAGGATGAGGTGGCTAGATGGAGTCACTGAAGCAGTTGGTGTGAGCTTAGGTGGACTCCGGGGGATGGTGGAGGACAGGAAGGCCTGGAGGAATGTTGTCCATGGGGTTGCGATGGGTCAGGCGCGACTTCGCAAATAACATACCGAAATAAAGTAGACAAATTAATGGAGAATAAGGTCATGAATAACTAGTAGTCATGAGGAGTGCATATTGCTTACCGTATCAGAAGCAAAGTGCTTCTCACTAGCAGTTGCTGGGAACATGAGGGGCTGGGGCAGCTGCCCTCGTGTCCCAAAGACCTCTGACTGTTCCCTGTGGGAGCAAAATTCTGGACCAGGGAGGCCCTGGGCCTGATCCAGCAGGGCTCTTTTTATGTTTTGCACTTTAATGAATGCCAGGAAGAGGTATTTCATAATAGGGCAGACCATCATTTATTTTACAGAATCCAGATTCTGAATTGGGTGACGGCTGCTCCCATTGACTCATCCCCATATGAGCCAAGAGGCAGGAAAAGGTTTTTTACTCTCTTCCTCAAACTTAGTTGCTCACTCCCCTGTGCAATACAGAAATATTTATTTTATTTCTATGCCACCCAATATCAAAGCTTTCTGGAAGGTTCACAAAGAGGCAAGCAGATGTGAAGATCTGAATATATATGAAAACTTTAAGCACACAGAGACACGTTTGTCTGTCTGTGACACTGTGCGTGAGGATAGAGGGTCCAGTCGCAGATGGTCCAACTGAGTGGTGGAACAAACATGCTGCACACACAAGATTCAACCTCTGTTATCACCGGTGAACAGGATCTCTACCACCAGATGCAGAAGACCACAGCTCAAGACCATGGACAGCCACTGCCACCCTCAACGGGCAATACTGCTTTAAAAAAACCCTTTGAAAATTCCAGTAGATGATACTAGCTCTGATTTAATATCAGGCAGTTTCTGAAGGCAAAAAGAATTACGCCACAGGAGCAGTACAGGGGTGCCATAGGAGATGTGGGTTCTTTCTGTGCTCCATGATAGAGTCTGTGTTACAACTGAGCAGGGTGTGTAACCTACAACCAGGAGAAAACAGCAGAGACATGTAAAGGAGACCGGATGGACAACACTGAGAGGATGAGATAGGGAGAAGACTGCAGGAAACCCTAAAATGAAATTTGCAACTAGTTTAAATACAAAACTGGATTAAGTGGATTCCCATTACCTATGAATAAACCATCTTATGAGATTTAAAAAATACATCCAAGGAAAACTCTGCATGTTTCTTTTTAATGTAACTTGTTTCTAACCCATTAAAAGCATAAAACATATGTACAGAGAACATAAAACCATTTACTAATTCACTGTTTAGCATCTGCTAAGGCTTTGTACATTTTGCCCCTGCCCTTTGTACGTACAAATTTCACACAGCAGCTGATGAGTCTTGTGTCGTGGTGGTACCTCTCATAATTTAAAAAGGTTTTCACAAGGCGCTCCAGCAACTGCAAGAGGTAGTTTTGCCTTTCCTCTGTTTCTGGCATCTCTTCCACCCACTGAAAATATCTAAATATGAGATGAGCTTGTCAGTTGTCTGTCCTACAGTAAGTTCAGAATTGAAACAAACAGGGTCAATGAAAAGACCAACCTATACCAAGGATCAAGTGGGTCATCACCACTGTAGTTCTGTATGCAAGCTTCAAACATTCTGGGAAGCAAACCAGATAATGCCTCATTAGTGAAATCCATATTGCCTACTGAACACGAGAAAAGAGTACAGTAACATTAGGGTCAGACCAAAGTGACTTCCAGAGCCTCCCAAAGATAGAAATCTGTATTCCGCCCACCCACCTTGGAGTAATACTGGACAGGATGCAGGGGATTTTGACTGGGCAAAGGACATGGGAGATTTTAAAAATCCTTTTGGCACAGCAGCTCCAGTTCAGGCCACCTGAGTTCAAGACCTAAGTTTGGGTCCCCACATCTCATCTGTCATGAGACTCATCCTCATGGAAAATATTTTCTCTGACTGGACGATGAAGCCAAAGTGGCTGCTTTCACATGTAATGCTAAGCCAGGATTTAATGTTACATCTGAGACTCTCTGCAGGATAAAATGGAGCTTTGGTTCACTCTCCCCACTTCCATGCAGCCAGGAGGAAAAATAATCCATGGCCCAGTGAAGAATTTAGCTCATTAAGGAAGCTTAATGATAAATTAACTTGTGATATTAAAATTAAAAGGTTACATAGATAATAACAATTTGGAAGATATTTGGGGACCATTTATTGAGTACATGCTAATAAAAGGGAAAAGATGTGAACAATCACCAGACGCACTGCAATTTTGGAAGGGTGACAGAATCTCTTGCAAGAGCAAATGGCTCAGCAGGTATCCAATGGTCCTGGCGGTAGGATGCACAGTTTTGTTATGTTATGTTATAAAGGTAAAGGTTTCCCCATGACATTAAAGTCCAGTCATGTCTGACTCTTGGGGGCGGTGCTCATCTCCATTTCCTAGCCAAGGGAGCCAGTGTATGTCCATACACAGTCTCTGTGGACATACGGCCAGCATGACTAAGCACCCAGGTGCACGGAATGCTGTTACCTTCCCACCGAAGTGGTACCTTTTTATCTACTTGCATTTTCATGCTTTCGAACTGCAAGGTTGGCAAGAGCTGGGATGGAGCAACGAGAGCTCACCCCATTGTGCAGATTTGAACCGGTGACCTTTCCATCAACCAGCACAGCAGTTTAAACCACTGCGCCACCTGCATCCCTATATTATATTATATTGGATTATGATTCTAATTGTATCTTTTCTTTTTTAGTAGTATTGCAATTCCTTTTCGTAAAATGTAATAAAAAAACTAAAAAGGTAAGTTGAAGCCATACTGTCTTCTGTTTGGTGATTTTAAGAGATCTGATCACATGATTCAATCTTGCCCTGCAGCATAATGCTACACATATTTACTTAGAAACCATTTTCAGTTGTGCACACTTCCTAGAACCTGTGTTTAGGATGGCAGCTATTAAGTGTTGAGCTCTCTTAGTGGAAGAAAAATGGAACGCAATGTTTGTTTTTAAATTAATGCATGCGTATTATAAAGATTATACATACTATGTCCTATAAAATAGTTGCATATAGTGCATATATCAGAAGGGACTAATTTACGCTTCCCCGCCCTTCCCCCCTCCTCCGTTCTGTCCTATTTGGATACTGACAGGCAAGGATCGCACTTTTGTGCGTGAGCAAAGAGCAGTTCTCATTGGCATGGACTCTGGGCATGTGCAGTGAACACTTGTTTCCTCCCCCCTCCCCCCGCCACCTGTCATCTCGCGCCCAACTGTTTCCAGGCTGGCTCGAGTATCTTAGGATCCTTCCGTCAAACGTGCCCTAAAGCCGCGGAGGATGGAACTGCCTCAGCCCTCCAAGGACTCACTGTGCGCGCGCGAAGGGGTTCATGGCGGCCTCCGCGACAGGCGCTGCCGATGCGGCCACGTCCACCATAACTGGCTGGTTGGCAGGAAAAATTCAAATTGCCCCGCGCAGCCGCACGGGCGCCCTGGCCTCTCCACTATTGGTCGGCGTCGTCGGCAGAAGAGCCAATCAGAACGAAGGACAACTTAGGCTTTCGGTCTACTGAGGGCAAAAAGTGGAGAGGAACATGCTATAGAGATAAAGGCGGGGTGGGGGGGAGGAAAGCTAAGCGCTATGGATTGCTTTCATTTCCGGTTTCTGTGCGGGGACCGCCATTTGCAGGGCAGGGTACTACTGCTTTCCCCCCCTTATCTCGCTGTTGTTTTGTATCGGTTGTCCTGCACCTATTGGGAACCGGACATCAGTCCCCGTTAAATAAAGTGTGAAGGTTAGCGGATGATCGCTTCTGTCTTCCATCCACGCTGATTAGGGGAGAATGGGAGTTGCAGTCCAACACGCCTAACGGGCACCAGGTTGGGTAAGGCTTTTCCCCAAATTTTAAAAGATGCATTCGTATATATGTTCATATATATATGTCTAGAAGAAGCCCCTCCAAATTGCAAATTGCTGATACTTTCCATTCACATCATCACTGGGCATGTTGGCTGGGACTGATGGAAGTTGTAGTCCCACAATCTCGAGGGGAGGGAAATAGACGTTCTGTACAGTTCCATGTATAATCCAGTGGTGGGCAACTTGCAGCCCTCCTGATGTTTGAGTCTGCAGCTCCCATTTTTCTTCAGCACTGGCTATGCTGGCCAGACTTGGGGCTTCTAACAGGCCAAAACATCTGGAGGGTATAACATCTGCTCCCCCTCCTCGGAGAAACGGCAGAATTTAGGAATCCATCTTGCATTTGGCCAGCTGGGCTCTGACCTATCCAAGCGCTGCCACAAGGCACTTGTTAGTTTTTAAAGTGCCCAGGGGATATTACCTTTTATTGGTATTGATCCTTCGTTTATCTTTTCTAAGTTTTAATTTTCATTTTTTCCACAAGAGGGTGGTAAACAATAGGTTTTTAACTAGTTCTTCAGAGTGCTCCGTTTCTTTCTTAGAAGCAGCTTAAGTTCTGAGTGAAATTCAACTTACATTATTGTCTGCCAATTACGTGTCTTCATTTTATTTTGTTGTTGTTAATATGCCATCAAGTCATCTCCAATTTATGGCGACCCTATGAATGCAAGCCCTGCACGGCAGCTCTTGTAAATTCAGGGCTACCTTTATCAAGTCAATCCATCTCATAATTGGACTTTCCTTTCTTCTGTCTTTCCCTAACGTACCTCGTCCTGCAGGTTTTGCCTTCTCATGATATGGCCAAAGTACTGCGACCACATTTGGTCATTTTTGTTTCAATAGAAAGCTTTGGCTTGATTTGATCCTGGACCCACTTGTTCATCTTTCTGTCAGTCCAGGGTATTTGCAAAGCTCTCCACAAACGCCATGTTTCAAATGCATCAATTTTCTTCCTGTCAGCCTTCCTCGCTGTCCAACTTTCATACCCATACATTGTGATTAGGAGTACAATACTTTTTATAGACTGTGTTTTTAAAGCAATAAGTAACTATGTTAATTTCCAAAGACAGGTAGTCCAAAAACACTGAGGAGTTCTTAGTTTGTAGAGTTGCAACTTTAAAGATAGTGTAGGCATAGAGGAGGCTTTCCAGAATCCTCCAGGAATTGCACATGGCCATTGGGAGAAATGGCCGCAGCAACACCACTGGAAGTAGTAGTGACATGAGAATCTAGTGTTTCTCCCAGAAAACAAACATCTATCTCCTCACACAATCTGTTTTGTAGCAGAATTGCTACAGCACAGTAGTAGTGATTTTCAGCAGCCCAGTGACTGGCAGGGCCACCCAAATGGCCTGGGCAGGCCACCTGTGGTTTGGGCCCACAAGTTGCCCAAACTTGCTTTTACACTACTATGAATTATTTATGCATTAATTTATTTCATTTTACCACTAAGCCACCCCATAACCCGACGGTTCTTTGGGTAGCTTACAAACACTAAACCAACATGTAAGACAGTAAAACAGATAAAAACAAAATTAATGTGTCAAAATGCATCCAGCATGATACAAATAATAGAGAAGCATACACAAGACATAACCAAACACAACCAAATAAATTAAAAACGACCAACAATATCAACAGCAAGGTACAATTTACATTAACCAAATGCTTTTCAGAACAAAAATCTTTTAGCTGGTGCCTGAAAGAAAGCAAAGTCAGTACCAGCCATAGGTCCATATTACACTGTGATCTTTTGTGGGCTGATCAGACTCAGGGCACAATCCTTTGGAAGTTTAGACAGAAAAACGGCCTACACCTGCCAGTATGCTGGCTGCAGTTTCCTGGGAGTTATAGGCCTTTTTTCTGTTTAAGCCTGCATAGGATTGCACCTCCCTTCAATCTGTCCATTAAAGGACCTGCAGTTAGTCAATATGCAACTCAATCCTTTGCATGTTTGTTCAAGTTTGTGCATATGATTGCTGCCTCCAATTGTTTAGATCATGGGTCCTCAAACTACAGCCCATGGGATGGATTCGGCCCACCATGGCTATCCAGCCCGCGCTTGCTGTGGGGGTGGGGAGGTAGTGGATGCTTGCTCGGAGATGGTCCAGCCACCGCCTGCCTCCCGTACCCACGCGCTTGCTGCTGCCTCAAAGTGCAGGTGGGGAGTTGGTGGCTCCCTCGCTTGGAGATGGTTTTGGACTCACTGGGAGATCTCTGAGCGAGCCACCGCCCCGCGCACCCGATGCCGCCTCGCATGCGCTCAACAGCACCTCACTGGCCCAATGGCATCCCCACCTCACCAGCCCACAACGGTCACCGCAGCCTTTCAACAGGCCCCCTATTCAAAAAGTTTGAGGACCCTGGTTTAGATGATATTCCTAGTGGTAATATGCTGTGCAAGGAAATCAAGAGAGCCAGTGTGGTGTAGTGGTTAAGAGCATGGGACTGGGACTCAGACAATCCGGGTTCTAGTCCCCCTCAGCCACGCAGCCAACTGGGTGACTTCGGGCCAGTCACACTCTCAGTCCAACCTACCTCACAGGGTTGTTGTTGTGGGGATAAGATGGAGGAGGAGAATGATGTAAGCTGCCTTGAGCCCTTTGTAGGAAAAAGGCAGGATATAAATTGAATAAATAAATAAACAAATAAATAAGATAGCCAGCCTGTGGTCCACCAAAGTGCATCTAGTTTTTTGGATCTCTTTCCAGGGAAGAGAGATATGTCCATCCTCAGACAGGGAGACCCAATTTTCATAAGCCTCTGTGAGATTGAGGAAAAGTCTGCAACAGCTACTTCTGCTAGGCAGAATGGGCATTCCAGGAGAGCCTTTCAGTTCCATAACTCACACCTGGAATAGAGAAGAAACTACACCAGTGTTGGAGCTGACATAATTTGTTTTCATCTTGATAGGATTTTTCTGCATATTATATAGAACAAAGAATCAGATTCTGAATTTTCATTTTGTTAGGCACTCATTGAAGTGCTTATTTTTGTGTTAATCTGCAGCTTGCAACCTCATTCAAAAGGCCAGCCTTGGTAGATTGAAAGAAACACAAAGATAACTATTGCCTTGCCTTAAGTATTATCCTTTTATTTAGAATCACATTTATTTTAAATGAAGCCTCTGTGATTGGTAGAAGCCACTAACTACATCTGGGGCTTTTCCTAACATTTTCTGGCAAATTAATCTCAGATTACTCTTCAGTGCAATCAGGTGTGGCTATTTTGTAGTCTAGGCCTCTTTTCATATGGAAGCTCTTCAGACTTGATATAAAACATCTGTATATCCAGTAGGCCATGCCAAATTTGACAGTGAAGCTGATAGGCTAGAGGAAAACTTTCTCATAGCTGACAAAAGCACTCACAAATTAAGGGCACAATCCTATGTACAGTTAGTCAGAAAAAAGGCCTAGAACTCATATTGTTAGCTGGGAAATGCTAAGAAATGCTGTAACCCCCCTTTCTGTCTAAACTTGCATACAGCCTGAAGTAACTGGTCCTGCCTAATCTTGGAAGCTAGGCAGGGTTGAGTTTGGATGGAATCTCGATGGGAGACTTGAGTCCTGCATCAAGCAGGTGGCTGGACCTGATGGCCTGCTAGGCCCCTTCCAGCTGTACAATCCTATGTTTCTAGGACTGCCCTAAGACAGCAGTCTTTAGGTACTTGAGAGGGGGTCCCAAGGAATGTAGGTAGCAGATTTTCCCCTCCCAAAAGTGGAGACAGAGGTCTGGCCTCCTGAAGGGGAGGTCTGAGCACTGATCCCCACCACTAGCCGCCACCACCACAGAAACTTCTGCCGTGGCTTCCTCCCCATAGTCAGGACTCTGACTTAGGGCAGTGAAGTGGAAGAGGCAGGTTGGGGGTGTGCCCGGCCTGCGAGTGAGGAGAGAGCAGCTGCGAGTCTGCAGCCTCGCAACCTCTGTCCCCACCTTGCAGAGACAGCTGTGCCAGAGGTGAAAGTTAGGCCAGCTGTAGAGCTGTGCCAGTCACAAAACCAGTTTCTTCCCCTCTGTTAACCATGTAGAGAATGTAACTAAAAAGTTACAGTAAATTATGTTTGCATATTGTGTGAAATGCATAAGTGTGTTCTGCAAGGTAATACAGTTATGTTTATAAAGGTTATCTGCAAAAGATGAAAAGGTTACCTCTCACTAAGGTTAGTGACTTTGTGACTCAGACCTGCTGCTGAAAACATGCCAACTGCCTTTCAAGATGTCACTGTTGTTACAAAAAAGTTATGACCTTAGTGATTCATCAACCTGCTGCTTATTTATTAGATAGAAGAATCCAAAGGTCAAGTTTTAATGGATCATTTATGGACATCCTCTTGGCTTTCATTGGCTTACAGTTTTAAGCCAATGGGCTATCAGATATTTTAGAAATGAAGGTCATTGGTCAGGGTGTCCTGACTGAAGATGTATATAAGGGGCAGCCAGCGGAGATGGTTCGGTGAGCAGTGGAGACAGCAGGGCGAGAATGAGAGCCTAGGAAGAGGTGGATGAGAAGATAAACTCACTAAAGGAAGAAACTAGGAGCATGCTAGGAAAGGAAGACTCAGAAGGTGGTTCTCCAGGATAGCATTTGCCTAGAGGGATGTTGGAAAGTAGTTGGTCTCAGGAAGCAGAGAAGGCTGCTGTGACCTCTTTTTGGTGTATCCTGGTTCTCTAACTACTGACCAGGTGGAAGATTTCAGGAGAAGCTGAAATAATCCATGATGGGTTCATTGTGAGTGACAGTGAAGTTATGTTCAACTTGGTATCTTCTTAGTGAGTCAGGAAACAAAGGGAAAGCTTACACTCTTGTCCTCTGTGCTATTCTAGGAAAGCTAACTGGGGTGGAGTTATGGCATATGAGTTTAATTTAGGCAGAGGACCTAAAAGAAAGAGATTCTCTTTAAAGTGACAGTACAAAATGTACTGGTAACATCTAATAGCATAAAAATATGTAACTATTCTGTAATT